CTTCTGACCGTCGGCCACCTGACACCCGTATCTATACGCAGACAGTTAACACCCAAACAAACATTTCGTTTCGCACTTGGCGACAGGTTTCCCATCCGTGTGTGTGTGTGTGTGTGTGTGGCAGCCTTGCTTATGCTTAAAGAGGAAAAAGAAGAAGAAAAAAAAAGAAGAAGCCTTCTTTCTCCAACTTAATTCCTATTTTTCAACGATTGGGTTCCATTTTTTGTTAGGTATTGTTTTACGTTTTCGGTTATAAGCAGCACTCAGAAGCTTCAGAGTAGTCCCTAAATAAGACCCTACAGGGACCACTTTGCCTCCCTCCATAAGGACCCCTTACACTTGCAAAGTGCCCCCTATAGGGGAGTTTTGCGTTTTTTGGTAATTTGTGTTAGATGATTTCGGTTATAAGCAACACTTAGAAACTCCATAGTAGTCCCTATAGGGCTTCGAGGGTTCCCCTAAAGGATCCACTTGACCTTCCTCTATAGGGGAACTGAAGCTTGCAAAAGTGGCCCCTATAGGGGAGGTTGGCGTTTTCTGGTAGGTTTTGTCCGATGTTTCCATGTAAAAACACTGTTTTGGAACTCAACAGTAGTCTCTATAGGGTCCCTCGAAGGTTCCCCTTTAGGGACCACTTGAACTTCCTCTATAGGGAAACTAAAGCTTACAAAAGTGGCCCCTGTAGGGGAGGTTCTTTCAGCATGGTAACCATTTCACTTTGCCTCTAGTAACTCTTTGACGAAAAAATTCAGAAAGCTCCGTTTTTTTCTGGATAAAGGTCTTGAAGCTTCTTGCCTTCACAAACTTGCTGGTTTTCAATGAATAAGGACCCAAAATCGCCCTTTTCGGATTTTAAGGGTCCCATTGGCTTTGAGGTGTCTCTTTTCCGAACATTGAAAAGTCTTGGAGGTCGAGACTTTGGGGTTTCTGACCAGTTTTCTCGAGCTTGCCAACCAAATAAGGAAAGAATCTTTCTTTTAAAGTCTTCTAAATCTGTTTCTGAACGGCTAGAAAAAAGGTTACTTTATGCTACCTTTTTGCGTCCTTTTATCAGCCTATGGTATTTACTTTTTTGCTGCCTTTTTCCTAGAAAAGTTGAAGGCTGTGTGAAGGCCAAAACGGAGTTCTTTTCGCGGCACTTTTCCACACTTTCAACTTCATTCCTCGCCTATCCACTTGACTTGATCATCATAAGGTTTTGACTGACCCAATACTATCAAAGGAAAAAAATTGACCTCCTTGCGGCCGCCGTTTCTTATTCCGCAACGGGTCGGTTCGAAATGGGTCAACAGCAAAGTAGATTAGACATAGTTGTTATAATCATCTCGGCTTGAGGAAGCTTCTGATAAGAAATTTCTCCGTTTTTTCTTCTTTTTTATCATTCTCTGATCACCTTTTTTGAAACCAGTTCCACTTGTTGTTCCCTCAAAACGTCCCCCAAGTGGAATAAGATGCAATCATTTATTTTCACGAGGGCGATCAAAGTAAAAAAAGAGAGAAAAACCCGAGGTCATGTTAAATTCCACCTTTAGACAAGGAAAAAAAAGACCTCCTCAATGGTTGGCAATCAAAACGGGACGGCGGCGGCAAGAGTCCTTTTTTCTGCGCCGACTCGGTTTTGAAAAAATCTACACACGCATTTTTTTTCCTGGCAAGTTGGACTTTTTCAAAGAGTTTGTGTGACTTTTTTTTTTGATGCCGGGGGTCTGGGAACAATTTTCGCTCTCTTCTATCTGCTCAATTGCGCCTAATTCTTCGCGTTTCTTCACGATTCGCCGGGTCCCAGTCGCATTAAGAAGCAGCCAGACGGAAATGCAATCCTCGAAAAAGTTTCAGAGAGCCGCTTGTTTTGGCAGCTTCTTCTTCTTCTCCTTCCCCTTCAGCTTCTTTTGATTGTCGTCGGATTAGTGTACAGATTGTATAGTTGAGTCCGACCAGAAGGATCATCTTGAGCTCAACTGCAGCGGCTTGAAAGGCTTTCCAAAATAACTTAAAGGGTGGTTGATCTAAGAATTTTTTCTTCAAGCAAAAATCCGACAAGAAAGCCTGTTAATTTTTGAGGGTAATTTTTTGATCGCCCAAAAATCAACTTTTTCCAGACTTCTCTACTTAATATTTTAGAGCTTTTCATGGTGATTTCAATAGTCTACTTAAATTTTCGGAAAAATGAGAAATTTTGAAGAAATCAGATCGAAATGCATAAAAAAACATGAAACGGACACTTCAGCGCAAACTCGCTCCGTGGACAATATTCCCAATTTCTGAAGTTTTTTTTAATTCGTCTTTTTTTTCAATTTTTCTTCTTGTTTTCTTCATATTTACTTATTTATATTGTACACATAGGATTTTCCATCATATTCACTTCTGATTTTCACTGAGGTAAAGGTTTTTGTAAAGACACTTTTCATGATGATGGGTTTGTTCCTTTTTTTTAAATTGTTGATTTCACGAGGCTTCCCGCATTCTCATCCGTTTAATTTGAATTGCAGTGGGTTTTTTCAAAAATAAAATAAGTTTTTTTAAAGCTAATTAAAAAAAGGGTTTTTAAGTGACAACAATAAAGAATATAATTTTTGTAAACTAAAAATTTAATTTGTCATGAAAGTTTATAATTCTGCTTCGCTTCAAAACAGTTCCTTTTTGCTTCCGGAGGCTTTAATATTAAAATATGGATTTCCATTGATCAGTTTCGAATAAAAAAATATTTTTCAAATCTGAGTTTTTTTATTCAATTTTATTTTTCGCTGGTATTTTTTTGTCAAAGAATGAGATTTCTTCTCTTGAAATGAGCCAGTTTTTAAAAAAACAAAGTTGAAAGAAAGTGGATTATATGATAAGTATGATGGTTGAAGTATATCTGGTAAATCCCTCAAAGTTCCATCTTCGATACGAATTCACTTTAAAAAAAATGTTTGACCACGTATTTGAAAATAGCGTGATTTGCGATTTTTGTAGAAAAAGCTTTGCAAAAAAAAGGCCGAAGCTGGCTTTGCCTCCTTCTTTTTTTTTCACCGCTTTCGTAGAATCGCCGAACCATCTTCGGGCAACTGCGGCAGACGCTTTGAAGACGGGCAGGTTCAAAACTGTCCAGTTCATTTTTGTGTCCATTTTGATTGAAAGTGCTGTTCACTGAACAGATTTTGAGACTTTGTTGTTTTTAAGAGGAATTTTCTTACTAAAAGTTGCTCTTCTCTCAATACTTCCTGTTTTATTCGTGATCAGGTATGCTTTCTCATTTCTTGTACTTAATAAATGTCGCATTTTTCGTCGTTTTATATCCTTCACAAGACTTGAGCCTGTATACAAAAAATGTCAACTTGTATACAAGTTGACATTTTTGAACTTTTAGCCGTTTTATAGAACAAATTTTTGATTTATCTGCACCTTTTTTTATGCGATATGTGCTGAAGAACATCAAAACTTTGTAAAAATGTTTTTTTTTGCTTTTGACAGCCTTCTTAATCGAAAATGCTTCGTGGTTTTCAAAATCATATATGTTGACGATATTTCTTCGTGCCGTCGTTTTGAAAGCCGTTTTTGCAGAAAATTTAGCCAAGCTCAGAATTTTTACACACCTCTTTCTTTTTAATGTGGCTTTTCGCAGATAAGCTTGAGTTATTGTGGCCTCTTATTTTTTCTCATACCCCGGGATTCTTTTTTCTTAAAACAATCTTTACTTCATTTGATATTCATTCTTGACTTTTTTGTGCTATATCTCCCTTTTTAACTACATTGTCTATCAGGGTTTTAATTGGTGTTTCGGTACCTTGAAATTTGATTTTTTCTAAAGCAAAGGCTCCAAAAGAGCTTCGTCTTTTGAAACCCAGATGTTTTCTTAGAAGTGTTGAAAAATTCCGAACCTCCAGAACGATTTCTTGAGCTTGTGCCAAACTAAAAGGTCGTTTTTGCCATCTTCCGTTCAACTAGGCCTGAGAAAAGTCCTTTTCGAGGTACTCCCAAAAGTTTCATTCAAAAATCTTGGCTTTTCATGCCGGAACAATCGTTTATTTAACGTCTTTCAGTAAATCAAAGGCTCAGAATGGTTTTTACTTTGATTTTTCCAAACTGAAGGGCTTTTTTTAACTATCATTTAGCTAGGCTCATGATTTCTTTGCAATTTATATAAGTTTTTGCTCAAAATATCGCTTTTTGAACGACTTTTGGTGAATCAAGAGGGTCAGAACGGTTTTCTGAGCGTATGATGCTTAACTAAAAGCCGCCGACTTGACTCAAAAGAGTTGGAACATTTTTCTGAGCTGTTAGAGATTTCGGAACATTTTTCTGAGCTGTTAGAGTCGCTGTGAAGAGAATTAATTAATTTTGATTAGATTTCGGTCTGAAAGACCTTTTTGGCCCTGAAAATTTGACTCAATAGAGAGCTGGAACAGTTTTCTGAGCTGATGGAGCCAAACTTACCAGGGGATGGTCTCCGGTCACAGTGGGACCCCTGAATGAGACTAAGTTAACTAGATGTAGTTTTTCACGCCGGTTCCAAATCTGGTCTCAAAAACTACCTAGGAAATTTGTGAAAAAAGTTATGGACCCTCAAAAGTTAGTGTCTCCGTTTGAGCTCATTTCTAGAGCATTATAAATCTCGTTCTTCGGATAACATAAGAAGGATTACTTTTAAAAAACGTTCAGATTTCCTGTCACTGATTTTTTCAATATAGGGTGATGGGAAAAATGGCATTTTGATCTGAAAGACCGTTTCTTTTTCCGCTGAGCTAGACTCTAAAGGAGCTGGGCACTTTTCTGAGCCCATAGAGAGAAACGAAGACTCCCTTCCATTGGTTTTCTCAAAATAATTGCTTTGATCTGATTTTGATCTAAAAGACCGTTTGCCACCGAACATTTAGCTAGACTGAAGATAGAGCTAGAACAGTTTTCTGAGCCGCTGGAGCCAAACTTAGACTTCCTTCCACTGGTTTTGTCGAAATGGGTTTTTGATGAGAAATATGGTGTTTTTATTCGATTTCGATCTGAAAGACCGTTTTGCCGCCTCAGCAAAATGGTCTTACACCTTGGGGGTCTGTTAATGTGCCAAAAGGACGACGAGGAGGAGGAGGAGGGGGCAGGAGGATGGGAACGGAGTCCGCGCTGTTTATCATAGTTGTAAATCGGACAAGGTTCCCCTTCCTCACCACCACCACCACCACCGATGCTACCATTGACAGTGCGTTATTCGGCGTGGTAGGAGGGCGTCTGGCCGCCCTCCGCCCGGGTCGCGTGCTCTCCTCTCTTCGCCTCCAAATGTCCGCTCGTAGCATTCCGGACGGCCCGCCCCCCTTTACTCCTACCCCAGCAGATCTCTCGTCGCTGACCATTCAAACACACTCTTTTCTTCTCCTCTCCACTTTTTTTTTTGTTGTTGGCCTCCCTTTGGCTTCAACCGCCTTTCTTTTAAACTCGCATTGTTCTCGATCCGATTATCTTGTTTTCGAACCCATTTTTGAGTTTTGAAATTTAGGCCAGGTTTTGAATTTCTTCTCTCCCACAGACTTGCTCTTTTCTTGAGTTTCCCTCCTCTGATCATCTTTTTTTGAACTTTTTTTGTACATTTTAAGCTCAATTTTTTTCAGTTTTTTTGCTTAGACTAGAAACTTTTGTGTTTGTATAAGGTAGCGACTTTTTTTCATTTCAGTTGTTTTTTTGAAGCTTTAATTTTTTTCATTTTATTCATTTTCGAAGTTTTTAATTATCAAATTAACTTTTTTTAATCTGTTTTTTTATAAGTCCAAAATGGTTTTTTTCTTTCAAGAGAAAAAGGAGCGTTTATTTGTAATTTTTTTAGCTCGATTTCAAGGTTTTGTGACCTTTTTTTCAAACCTTGATCGAATATTAGAAGCTTTTTCGCTATTTTTTTCAACTGATTATGATCTGAATTAATCATATAAAATTGGAATTTTTCTAAAAAAATTCGAGGTCTAGTATGATAGACTGGCCACTACAAAATACAACAGGAAAAACCCTGAAGTGAGCCCTTGGGTCTGATTCGCCGCGCGTCGCAAAAATCATTGAGAAATTTCCTTTTTTTCCGGTTTTTTTGGTATTCTAAATTCGAAGCTAAATGGTCTGCTTTTTTTATATTATTCTTTGAAATACTTTAAGAATCCAAATTTGAAAGGAAAACTGTTAATTTTAACCTTTTGCTCTGAAAAGTGAGGTTTTCTGAATATTTTTTCATTTACTAAAAAAAATATTTTGTTCAAAAATCTTATCAAAAAACGAACATTCCATTTTTTTTTTCCAAATTTTTTTTGTTTACGATCAAAAAACCATGAAAATTTTTGCGATGATTCACTCCGACGTGTTGTTTTCCCCGAGCACTTTAAACACTTTTGCATAATTCTTCCATCCATTTAGAGTCCATTTAAAAGCAATGAGAACAATTAGTTATCCATTCTTTCCCTTTCTCTCGAGGGCTTTCCTCATCTTTTTTGCTTCTCTTTGGCTTTTTTTTGAGCTCTGCCAAGTTTTTCAGTGAGTTTTTGAATTTTGGAAAAGAATTCCTGCAACAAAAACTAGTAAAATTGACCAAAACCGTGGCGTTTCGAAGTGCCTTCTTTTGTTCGGCCTTTTTTTCACGCATTCCTTGTTTCTGAATAGATTTGGCAAGGTTTTTTCCAGCCTTGGGAGTGTTCTTTTTTTGGCGCCGAGTCAGGTTTTTTGAAAAATTCGTTTTTTGGTGATTTTCGAAGCTCTCCATTATTTATTACATGGTTTGCGAGGAATTACAGGAATTTTCAGCGTTTTTAGGTCCTTTTCAAGCCTTTTCTTGATTTTTCGATGGTTTGCAGATATTCATATTGATTTTTCCGGGGTTTTGATAGATTATATGAATTTTTTACCATCTATTCGCGATAATTTTATTTTTCCTTGATATAATGAAGCTTGCAGCTTTTCCCAATTCAATATCTCCTCAATATTGATTTTCGGATCTCCCCATTCTCTTCGATTTTCGCCGAGCCAATCAAATAATTTTTTTTTTCGCTCTGATGTTTCTGAGTAAGAATGTGTCATTGTTTACGTTTCTCTGGTTTTAATGTTTCAAAACGTTTTTAATGGAGTGAAAAGCATTCTGATTGTTCGAAAAGCCTTGCTGGGGTTTTTGAACCTTGGAAATGTTTGGCAACACAAAAAATACTTACGAAATTCGTTTTGAGACCTTTTTGGGATTTTTCTATGCTCCTTTAAACACGTCAGCTAGCTTTTTCCCTTCTTGATCCTAAAATTCTCGCAATTTTTCATCTTTTTGATCTTTCACCTTGATTTTCTTGCTTCCAATGAAGATTTTCCGCTTTCAAATCATTTTCACGAGTAAAAGTGACCACTTTTTTTCCAGTCACTTCGAAAAAGAGCCAGCTGATCGCCGCGAAAACGATTTCCGTCGCGGGATATGCGAATGAGATGAGCGGACAATGTACACGAGAAAGACAGAAATCAACGCGGCGACGCCTCCTTCGCTGCTCCCCCAAATCCTACTCATTTTAATTCAAATCACTTCTACCGCCGCCTTGGACGTCTTCAGCCTCGACGACACTAAAATATTCCATAACCCTAACTTTGACAAGGGCTATGTTTTCGAAAAATTGGTCAGTTTTCATTAGATTTTTTGCCTTGTATTTGAAAAGTTGGTCATTCTTACTTGGTATTTTATCTTTTTTTTGAGCTTCCACAACTATTGCAAGAGCTGTGTTTTACAAAAATTGGTTTTTTTTTGGATTTTGAGACTTTTTTGAGCTTCCAAAGCTTAGGGGTGTCTTTGAAAAGTTTTTTTGGGTTTTTAGCTTTTTTTTTTTAAAGCTCTTATAACCTTAATTCAGACATGGGATTTGAAAAATCGGTCAGTTTTTTTATTTGGATTTCTAGCTCCCTTGAAGTTCTTACAACCCTAATTTTGACAAAAGCTATTTTTTTGAAAAATCCAGTTTTTTTTTAGATTTTCAGCTTTACCTAACCTTAAAATTCTTAAATTCACCTAGTTCAATTTTCCTAAATTTGATTTTTTCTTCATTCCTAACTACCATCTGTTTCTATAGCCATAATTTGGAGGTTTCTGACTTCTCTGCGTTTTCTATTTACGTACTGTTTTCTATCATTTCGACCTCGTCGATGAGGGAAAAGAGAGCGCAGACAGGTCAGACAGCTTGAAGTTATATCAATTTGAGTCTCCGTACTTTTCTGAGTTTTTGCTCGATTGCAATCGACTTTTGATTGTTTTCGCTACTTTTCTTATCTCCGTTCTAATCGACCTGTCTTTATCGATTTTTCTGCATTTTCCATCGATTTTTTTCCAGTCTTCCTATAGGACAGGGGGTATATAGGTGGCCTGAGATCGGAAAAAGAGGAAAAGAAAACAATTGGGCCGAATAATTTAGTACATGTGTGCTCTGCGGACAAAGTTTTCTACCGAATTTTTTTTTTCCAGAAAAATCTTATTCTGTTTTGTACATTGCTGTAAAATTAGGGTTTTTTTAGAAACAAATTTATTAAAAATAATTTATTTTACCTATGATATGTTTCCCTTTTCTCATTTTCACAGAAATTCGATTTTGGTACTGTTCAAATTTGTCTGTAGAGCGCATATTCTGTCTTAAACTCTGTATTTTTTAGGGCGACTTTTGTATCTTGAAGAAAATAAAAAAAATTTCAATGATTCAGTAGAGAACCTTTTCTGAAGACTGAATAAAATATTAAACTTGAGAAAAGTCGCTCTTTTTACTCAAAACTTGACGATAAACACTCGAAAAAAGGGCTGAAACGTGTTGTACAGGCGCGTGTATCACTTATAATTAGTGTTTGTGAAGAAGATTAGCCGCGGCTGAGCCGCTCGCAGGGCCCACCAAATGACAACCTTTGCTTAGACTTTAGTCGCCAGAACGTAGAATAATACGAAAAAACATGGAGAATTTTTGGAAAGATCGATTTTTGTTGAACAAACTGTAAACTTAAGAGAACTAAATACGTTTTAGGGGGGTTCTTTAACCTTTTTTTGTGTAGTTTTTGCACAGTTTTAGTTCCTGTCCATATTTCTGTCTTTTTCTTCGGCCAGAGTACTGAAATTTCGCACTAATAGTTGAGGAATAGGCTTCTTCCTTTTTGGATCTTTAATGACACTTGAAGCTCAAAAACTGAAGTTTCGGGCCTCAAAAGTAGGAAAATTATAGAAAATGTCTTTTTTTCCTGGCGATCGATTGTTTGAAAACTTTTGAAGCTCAAAAATTAACGTTTCAAGATCAAAAAGTAGAAAAATTGTACAAAATAGCTCTTTTTCAGGTTTTTTTGTTCTCAGTTTTACAATATATTTCCTAGGTCAGTCCCCTCAAAACGAATTAAAAAGCTCAGAATATTTGTTTCAAGCCTTCAAGTTAGAAAAAAAAGTAGAAATTATCTTTTTTTCCAGGCTGTCGATCCTACTACAGCTCTTGAAGCATTTTAAAAAAAAATTGAGGCCTCAAGTTTTGAAAACTGAAAACAGTGTAGAAAATGGCCTTTTTTTCTGAGCGATCAATCCTTCTATAACTTTTGCAGTTAAAACATGAACTTCCAAGGCTTCAAAGTAGAAAACGAATTTTTTTTTCAAGGCGATCGATCCTTCTAAAGATTTTGAAGCCGAAAAACTGAAATCTCAAGCCTTTAAAGTAGAAAAAATCGATGAAATTGGCCTTTTTTCAGGCATTTGATTCTTCTCCATACATTTGAAGTCTAAAAGCTGGAGTCTTAATCTTGAAAAATAGAAAAATTGTAGAGAATCGTCTTTTTTCTGGTCAAAGGATCCTTCTAGAGCTGTTTGAAGTTTCAAATTTGAAGTTTCACGCTCAGAAAATAAAAAAACTTGTAGAAAATCGTCTTTTTTTTGGTCAAATGATCCTTCTAGAGCTATTTGAAGTTGCATATTTGAAGTTTCGAGCCTAAAAAGTAGAAAAAATAGTGAAAATGGGCTTTCTTCCAGGCGATCGACCCTTCGACAACGCGGCTCTTCGTCGGCGGCGTCAACCACCTGTACGACCTGCTCCCGGGCGACCTGGAAATCCATCGGCACGTCGTGACAGGCCCAAAAGACGACTCACTCCACTGCCAGGGTCGGTCCTCCTCTTGTCTCGACGATTTATCGCCGCTTCATGTCCTTCCTATCCGAGTCAGCTGACTCTTTCCCCCCTGATCTCTCAATCGACGACATTTATCAATCGGTTTTGTTCCCTTTCTGTAAGATTAAACTCCATCTTCCACTTTCGCCGTCCTATTGAAAGGATTTCCTGGAGAATACTTGATATGGCGGTTTTTTGAGCTGGGAGTAGGGGAAAGCACTTTATTTGTACTTTTGGAGGGATTGGTAATGGAAATATTGGGTTTTGAACTTTGTATATAGGAAAACTGTCCTTTTTTTTGAATCTTCTGGAAGAATTTTAGAGGAGTTGGTACTTGAAATATTGCGTTTTTAGCTTGGAATATGGAAAAAACCACTTTTTTTGAACTTCTGGAAGAGTTTTAGAGGAGTTGGTACGTGAAATATTGGGTTTTGAGCTGGGAATAAGTAAAAAAGGTACTTTTTTGAACTTTTGGAAGAATTTCAGAAGAAATGATATTGTAAATATTGAGTTTAGAGCTTGGAACATGAAAAAAGCACCTTTTTGAACTTTTGGAAGGATTTTAAGAGAATTGATGTTGAAAATATTGGACTTGGAGTTTGAAATATGGAAAGAAATGTACTTTTTTGAACTTCTGGAAAACTTTTAGAGAGGTTTGCACTTCAAATATTGGGGTTTTGAGCTTGGAATATAAAAAAGGGCACTTTTTTGAACTTCTGGTAGGATTTTGGAAGAACTTTTTAGTTTGAATATTGAGTTTTGAGCTTGGAATCTGGAAAAAAGGGTTCGTTTTTTGAACTTTTTAAAGATTTTGGAAGATTTTGTACTGGAAATATTGGGTATTGAGCGTAAGATATGGTAAAAGCATCATTTGGGGTCTTTTTTGTGAGGTTTTCGGTTTGGACAAGTAATGAGAAGCCTTTTTTTAGTCTTTTGTAGAGGATTTTTGAGATTTTTGTAATGAAAAACGTATTTTTTTTAGTAAATTTGAGCCTTTTTCTGGATTCCTGGGGTTCTGGTACGTAGAAAAGAAGTGATTTTCAACACAGCCCCATGCTCCCCCATTCATAATATCCTTGAGCTTTCACCACTTTCATTCCCGAATCGGAATCCGTCGCTTTTCATTCAATCATTCATAAAAAGTCGTTAAGGGTAAAAAACGAGTTCGCCGCTTTTTTTTTTGGGCTGTCTCTCACACGCGCGCACTTGCCGTTTACTACTATACGGAACAAATCGATTTGAAAGTCTTTTTTCTGGTCCTTAAACGGTTCTGGGGAGGCTAGTTATAGTAAATGGGCGCTTCTCGCACGAAAAAAAGCGCTTGGGGGTTAGCTGGGGTTCTTCGAAAGGTTTTTCTTTGGGTAAGGGACCTTGTTATGAAAAAAATTATTTTTTTGATTTATAGTTGAAATTGAAAGTTTGAAGCTTACCTTGAAAGATAAAAAGGACTGTCAATTTTAAAGATCCAAAAAAACTTGAAATTTTTCCATTTTTTCAAGACAAGGCGTCTTCAAGTCGCCAAAAGACCCATTCAAACGAATTCCTATGCTTTTTTTTGACTTCGGGGCGGTCGAGTTTGAAGTTGGACCTTTTGATAGGTTTCAGGAACAAATAGAAGAGTTCCCAGGTCAATTTTTGTCTCTAGAAAAAATCCCAAGACTTTCAAATGCAATCGATCAAAGATTGAGAAGGGTTGTCTAATTGCGGAATGAGTGAGGATGATGTGGGTGGAGGCCATTTGTCGAATTCTTCAGTGTCCCTTGGGTTATCCTCCTTCTCCGACAACACACAGACCCACAGACAAACGCTGCTGTTGTTGTACAATCCCACTTCGCTTTCCGAACGGCTTCCTTTGGAACTAAGAAGCGGAGAAAATGAATAAAGTCGACCGGCTTATGGTTTCGGGTCGGCCCGCGTGCCTTTTTCCGCGCACTGTTCCCTTCAAGTGTTTTCTTTTTTTTCCCTCCGCCTCGTTGGAAAGTCTGTTCTTCGCCTTCACTTGTTGCTATTTGGGAAAGCAGCGGGAAGGCTGGGAATTAGGGAAAAAAAAATTGTTTGGCGGTCAAGGGAAGAGCCTGGAAAATTGTTAGCTTGACAATAAGGGAAAATTTTTTTTCTTTTCGATCTTTAAACATGATCAGATAATACTTGATTCACTCCTGATTCCAAATCACTTTAGTATGTGTGTTATTCAAGATACCAACATATTATGGAAGGTACATAGAATTTCGAAGAGCTATGACTCGACTAAAGGGCAAATTTTACAATCACGACACCAAAATCACAAATTTGTATCGTTTACCTAAGCTGTTTCCTTGTCAGCAAGATACTCGGAAGTGTACCCATCGTATTATGAGAAGGTTTATAACTGGAGTTGAGCAAATTACATAAGCGCCAGCTTGCAGCTGACCGAGCAAACACAAGGGGGCACAAATCAGATGGTGTTTGTAGGAGGAACTGAGCGGTAGTTGACATTTGAGTGTCACTTTGTTGATCCTCACCTTGGTGGGTCTCTAGCAGTCTTTCTTCCGTTGAGCTCAGGTCAAGGGAAGGATTTTCTTTGTGCTCGAACTGGATATAGTGCATCTAGTCGCAATCAGTAGGGAGGTCATTTCACTTTGCGGTTGGGAATATTCTGAAAGGCCAGAACACTCCTGGATGTACCAGATGAAGGTCCTGAAACCTGCAAAACTTCCTAGTTTTCGAGAATTAAGGACTCAAAAAAGCCTATTTTTTATGGATTTTGAACGTGCTCTTTGACTTTGAGGCGTCTTTTCTCAGAAACGAGGGAGTTGTGAATAGGGTCCGCAAGCCATTTCTTCAGAATGATTCAAAAAATATGTTTTTCACATTGTTCGATAGGGGAGACTGTCCATTTTCATAATCCGTTTAGTTTTTGAAAAAAGGTTCACTAAGAAAAAAGTTATGGCCAAAAAACGAGCGCGCGCGGCGTACAACTGGAGGCAAAAATCTCACGGGTACCCGCTGCCGCACGCTTTCTTTTTAAATGTTTTTTTGCGCGTTTCTGGACCGTTTTTTTAAATCGGTTTTTCTGTTCTGAGAGGTTGTCCGAACTGAGCCTCATGTTTTGCTATGAATCTTTTGTACAATCCTCATAAGAATTTTTTTGATGAAATATCAAAAAAACTACCTAGAAAAAAAGGTCAAAGGGATTTTTTTCAGCTTATTTTTTTCTTTTTTTCTACTCAGAAAAAAATTATTATCATTTGATTTGGAAAAAAAGAAAAAAATGAAAAAAATAATGTTATTTCGAAATAAAACAGGAAAAAGTGCAATTTGACTCCGAAAAAAACGGCTCCTGCGACATTTAAAAGGGCGCATCGGTGTGTTTGACGCAAACACTGCTACGGACACTTGCACGAAATCTTCCGAAATTTCAAAAATTGCCATTTTTTTCGAGGTTTTTCAAAGCTGTTATTTTTTTCGCGTCGATCGATTTTTTTCATAATTTTTTTCATTGATAGAGTTTTTGAACGCTTAATAACATTATCAAAAAAATATAGACGCGATCCTATTCTCTCATGCGTCAACGAGGCAGGCGAAAAAAAGGAGGTTTTGGTAAAACTCAAATATAATTTGATTCGCTGTCCCAATAATTATTTTCATTTTTGAATTTTTTTATTTCTTTGGACACACTGTTAGTTTTTTAAATCAAATAAAAAGTATACCATGTCGCTGAAATTTTTTTCGCATTTCAGCTTCAAAGTTTGGTGTCACTTTACAAGCTTTAATATTTTTTTCGCGTCGGTAGATTTTTTTCATTTTCACTCAAAAAATAAAGAAAGTGTTAATGTATAACATACTAAAAAAATTTAGAAGCGTTCCTCACTTGGTTTTCTGAAACGCGACGATTTTTGTGAAACTTGTCAGTTTTTTTCGTGTTAAATCTTACTTTTTTTCGCTTATTTTTTTGAAAAAAATACATAGTTTTAAAAAAATATTCAGTCTTGTAGAGCGTTGTCGATTACATAGATTAACAGAAACAGTTGATTTTTAAAGTGGGACTTTAGCTAGTATAAACGCCTCAAAACCGTTTTTGCAACAAAAAAATCGTCATTTTGGTGGCGTGAAGGGGCGGGGCTTTGCGCCCCCTAGTTGTGAAGGTTGAAACTTTCAGAGTCTTTTTCTGGTACATCAAGGAGCGTTCTGCCCAATTTGCAGGAAAATCCCAAGAAAGTAAAATGACCTCCCTTGTCAGAAGTTTCTAGGATCGGTTAGAGCTCCATAAAAAGAAGAGCGGTTTCTTTTATTTGCCCCAAATCCCAGGTTCACACCAAACTCGATACGCCTAGCGTACAGGTTTTACCCAAATCCAATCCAACAAAAAAAAAAGGGTGTGTTGAGAGATCCGCCGCCAACCCATGGATTATTTCTGAATAGATTGAATCGATGATCGTCCGGCACGGCACATTTGGCGTGAGAGAATGTTTCGTGACACGCATCTTTCATCGAAGAGCCAAATCGAAACGTGTGTGTCGCGTCTCGACGGTTCCCTGGAGAGCTCTTACAGACTGGATTCTCATGCCTAGAAATGGGTCCCCTCTCATAAAAACCCACCGAAGAAGACAAGTTGCAGCAGTTATTTTTCAAAAAAGTCATATCGAAAAGTTTTGTTCTATTCGCATTTATGTGGAACCTCTAGCGTAGAAGTTTTGTGTGAACATAGGCCTTTTTTGCGCAATCGATAATAATAAGGAAAGAGGAGAGTACTTGGGGATCCAGCTGCGAAAATTGAGCCGCGGTTGGGAAAGGGGTCCGTCGGGGTTACCACTATGAAGGGGGGTGACGAATACCTAATAATAAGGGAAAAAATAGCTTATATTCTTCCTCTTCATTGATTCTTTCGTTTTCGCTAGCGTTCCCAAGACTCGAGAAAGGCTATTATTGTAAAATCTAACACAGAGGTTCATGAGAGCTGAAAAATCAAAAAATAACGGTTTTGGTATAGATTTTGGAAACTTTGGAGCGTGTCTTCCCGACTTTTCCTTTGGAAGCAGAAAAGTGAGAAATTAGAAGCAGATCTTACTTGACCGACCCTTGATCAAATAAGTATCATATTGCTCGCCTTTTTTGGCGGAATAATCGGCCCTGGCCATTCATCTGGACATCTCCTCTTTTGTCTTTTTGGTCAGGAACTGTCGCAAAAAATTGGCCAACGGGATCCTATTTTGCGAATTTATCGAGTCTTCCTTTTTTAGGCTCCAGGAAGGGTAAAATGGAGAGGGATAGCTTAAAAAAAGCCAATGTAGGATGATAAAAAGTGGCAAAAAAAGCAGCCGTATGAGAGCATTTTTGAAAAAATTGGTCCGTACAAGACCAATTTTTAGTGGTACTGGAGGTCCCTTCCAACTTTGAAAATAAGCTACAAGGAGATCCTACTTGACCGACTCTTAACCAACCGCATATCCATGTCACACGGCTTTCCTTTTTTTCGGCGTGCGGAATAATCGGCCCTGGCCATTCATCTGGACGGTGGCATCTCCTCTTTTGTCTTTTTGTGTGCTCGAGTGGCGGATACTCAAGATTAGCGCGCCGCGCCCTTTTATTTGAGATTACTCGAGTCGGTCGGTCTGGGGGGCCCCGTCGGCGCGCCGACACACACTTGTCCGTTTTGATGTTCAAGTGCTGAACACGCGAATTTCGCGCGACGACAATGACGATGAGCCCTTGGAGGGCTGATTCACGGCCAAAGATGTTGCGAATTGAATTGGATGCATGGGATTTGGACTTGGAAGTGTGGAGGAGAGAGGAGGAGAGGAATAAAAATAAAGGATTCATACTTTTGAAAACGCCAGAGTGGCCCCTAACCTACAAGGGCCCCTATAGGAACCCCTCTGGAGTTCTCAAGCATATAAAAAACAGTGAATCTTCAAAGGATTGGTTCTGGAATGACTTGGAGGCAACCTGTGAATGTTTTTTACTGACAAGCTATCGTTCCAAAAAAGAGGTTAACCCGAAGATGATAACTATTCAAGGGCCCTTGTGGTTGCCCCTATAGGAACCACTCTAAAGTTTTCATGCATATTTCACAAAAAGATCAGTAAATCTTGAAAGGGAGGGTTCTGGAATGACTTGGAGACTTTTAAAGCATCCTGGGAGGACTATAGTCCCTGAAAACGATAACTTTCAAAAATGAATTTGGAAACAGTTTAATAAGGATCCTTGACTCCAATTCAGTGAAGGAGCCAAGTTCCAGAAAGGAGAAGCTCAATCCTGTACTTTCAGACGCCCGAAACGCCAAGGAATGCAAGCACCCGCTGTTCAAGACCAACTCGTACACCAAGGCGTTGGCCATCTACGACAAATCCTCGAAACTCATCGAATGCTCCAATCTCTATCAGGTGAGACACAACGCTCTCTTATCTCTAAATGACAGCTTCCTAGTCTACTATCAAAAGCGGGGTGTGAATCTTTTCCTACAATTTTTTTTCTGACCTCTTTGCGCTCTCTTTTCTCTAACTAGTTAAGAATCTGAGAAATTCCTAGTTTCCTATCAAACTTTGTGTATGAATCTTTTTACAACTCATTTTCTGTCTTCTCTGCGCGCTCTTCTCCAGGCAATGCTCTTCTCTTGTTTCTATGGCCTCAACGGGGAGAGAGGTGAGAGAAAAGAGAGCGCAGACAGGCTAGACTGTTTAAAATCGCGTAGAAAGTGTTGAATGGAAGTTTTCACTTCAGCCGCGTTGAATAAGGATGAAAAAAGGGATAAAAAATGTACTCCCTTCAGGGCCGATGTCGACTCCGGAACCTGCACAACATCTCGGAAGTCCTGGCCGAAGCCCAGGAGCCACGAGTCGCCAATGACAACGAGTCGACCGTCGTCGTCTTTGTCGGATCTGGACCTTCGAACTTGACCAAAGAACCCGTTTTGTACGTCGGAACGACTTTTCTTGGAGAAGCGGTTCGTTTAGGAATCCTGATCTTTATTATCCATCCTTGCTCCACAGCTCGGAATGACCTAGTGTCAAGTTTTCGGCCACAAAAAAAAATAGAGAGTCCTCTAGCCGTCTCCTGGTCAGCCGGCGTAAACCAGCGTAGGTCGGGTGCATGAAAATCAAGCGGAAAAAGAGATTTTGAGTAGGAAGAACTCTGGAATTTTTAGACGATCCGCGACTCGATGGCGGTCTTCTCGCTGTACCTCCGACAGAACAACGCCTTCGAAGTGGTCCACCAAGGGCTCTACGGAGGGACCAGCGTCACTTTGGACTATCGGAGTCGTGGAATGTACAAGTGAGAATAATAATGATCTCTCAATTTATCTGGTTATGTGACTTTTTTCATTTTGTCAAACTCTTCATTCTTTCTGTGTTCATTTTGAGCAGCCTTTTTCCATTTATCCACCTTGGTCAAGGGCGAATTTCAACCTTATTTGGAGTCATGGCGTCTCAAATTAGCTATCGAGCAGAAAAGTTAAAAAAAACCGTCCCCAGGATCGACTACGTCGGAGGCTTCGAGAGCGGCGAGTTCGCCTACTTTGCGACGCGACAACGCAGCGGCATCGCGGAAGACGCGCCGATGCAGTCGCGACTCGTCCGCGTCTGCACCGGCGACCAGCAGTTCCACAGCTACACCGAAGTCCCACTCGAATGCACGGCCGACGGCGTCGACTACAACCTCGTCCAGGACATCTACGTCTCCAGGGCCGGTTATGAACTCGCCAAGAACCTTGGTCTTAGGTAGATTGTTTATTTCGTCTTCTTAGGGCTTTTTCTAGAGGGTTTCTATGCGAAGTCGTTTTTTTTGCGCAAAGAAAATTTGGTTGTGAGTTTTTATAGCATTTTTCTTCACTCCAATTTACTATTATTTGCAATTTTGAAACATTTTTCTGAGATTTTCTTTTTTTTTAGAACTTTTCTTGAAGGTTCCGAGAAAAAATACTGCAGTAATGAGTTTCCATAAGTTTTTTTCTTTACCTTTCACTCGAAGTTTATTAATATTAATTTTTTCCGAACTTGGCCTCAGAATTGATCTTTCAGCAAAAAAAATAGCTTTTTTTTTTAGTATTTCCTCACTTCAATTCACATTTAGAGACATTTTCCACCTTTTTGAGCTCTAATGAGAACTTTTCGGCTTCTCGTTTCCGTGCTATTTTCATGTTTTTATGATCTCGCCGGCGAGGGAAAAGAAACGCAGACAGGTCAGACCGTCGAAGGAACTAGCTAGCTATTTTTCCCGTCAAAACTTTAATTATCTACAAAATTCAACTTCTCTTGTATTTTCCAGCGTGAGCGACCCAGTGATGTACGCGGTGTTCTCCGAGGGCGACAGATTTTCCTACCGGAAATCGGATCCGACGCAGCGGTCAGCATTGTGCATTTTCACGCTTCGCGAGATCGAGGAAGCCTTCAAGAAGAACATAATGAACTGCTTCCGGGGGACGACTCGGCTCAAGGTTCAGACGAATTTCGTCATCCGTGGAAAAAATATTAGGAAAATAGCAAAAAGAACGAGTCCCTTGTGGTTGAGTAGGGAAGGTTTTCGAAACTTTGATTTTTTTTTTCTGGAGTTTAAGGGTTGTCTTTCGCGATTTTTAACGGAAACATTCAGGAACAGCTTCTTACCGTTAATCTCACATCTTTTAACGAGAAAGTTTGGAAAAGTCCGCTTTATTGGAATGAGATAGGTAGAATTTTAATTCTTTGTCAATCTAGCCGTGATTCTGAGCTTCAACTTACATTGAGCGATTTTTGAAAGTTGAGTTTTTTACCCGTTAAAAATATCATTTAGGCTCAAAAAATGAATGAAGTTATCTAGAAGGAAAGATTAAAGTTCAGAAAAATATGGTTGGTTTTCAAAAATTTTTCAATTTTTTTCTTGGTTTTTTTCCCATAAGAGATTATATGGCCCTTAGAAAATATTTTTAGTTACTGCGGAAACTTTAAGTGGCCACTATAGAGCTCCCTCCTTGGAGATTTATTTTATCTCACTCAAACACAAAAAAAAAACAATGGTAAGTACTTGAGATGACACCAAAGCGGCCACTAAAACGTTAAAACCCTAAAGTGACCACTAAAAGTTGTTCCAGTGCTGCAAGATAAATAAACTATATAATATCCAATTTTTTCCAGCAACTGCCGTGGTTTTCTTCGAACGACGACTGCCGAGCGACGACTTTGCCTTGGGAGGGGATGAAGTGCGGAAAAGACGTCAACGCCAAGATCGGTAAGAGCCCAACAGGAACGACTTTTACGACGGTTTTCCTCTCCGACAGGTGGCAACTTCCCGATTTCGGCGACGGCGGCGTTCACCAGCAGCGAGTCAAAGTTTACGGCGATCGCCATAAACACGACACGCGCCAATACGGTCGCTTTTGTCGGCACCGATGAGGGCAATTTGCACAAGGTTCGGCTCTTTTTTGCAGCGTGGAAAAGAGGTTGATGACTTTTTGAGTGGAAGGCAGGTTCGATAGGGAATAGGTTGTCAAGTTGCTCCGTCGGACCTAAAACGACTTGCGCCCTTTTTCATCAGAAATATTTTGGACTACCCAAACATCGGCTCTTTTATCTCTTTTTGAAAAAATACAAGGTTTTAGCTCAAGTCGCAGAAAGAGAGATTCGTATTGAAATAGCTGCTCCAAGGTGCGTCGGACTTGAAACGACTTGCGCGTTAAGTCATCAGAACAAGCCTTGGGAAGCCATTATCAGACAATTTGAGAGAATCGGAAAATAAGCTTTTTTAGTCACCACAAGGTAGATTCAGCGCTAGGTCGCCAAGTTGCTTCGCCGGACTTAAAACGGCTTGCGCGCTTTTTCAGCAGAAAACCCTTGGATTAGGGGAGAATGGGCCTTTTCTTATTTTTAGAAGAGATTCAAGGCTTCTTGAGTTATTAGAAGATATAATTGAGGTAGAATAGCTCAACGCGCTGTCTCCAGACGCGTCGAACTTGGAACTTCTTGCCGAATCTCATCAGAAAAAAGCCTTGGAGCACGGGAAAATGGGCCTTGTTTCTATTTTGTAAAAATTTTTGAATGGATACCTTTGAAAAGATTTTAAAAAAGGTGAAAACGACTCTTTTCAATGATAATTTAAGAGACAGTTCCTGGGATGAGCTGTGATCAATAGTAGTCAAAAAAAAAGCCGACCAGAAAGTTTCCCTAGTTGAAGAATCGTTCTCTGATTTTTGATTTTGTACATTTTATCTCCGGTCATTGGTCCTTTGTCTATTAGCTTCTTCGATTTACTCAGTGAACTATACAACTCCCGATTCCATTAGTTCAAAATAGAACTAACGTATTTTTTTTGTCTCTGGACACGCCAACCAGTTACAAACATCCATTTTCGGGCGTGGACGAAGCGAAAATCAGCGGCGGCGGGGGCAAGCGGCTGCCTCCTCGTAACCGCGTTTTCCGCGTTCAATTGGCCGATGCCCAAAATTGGTTTAGGGCCTCTGACTTGTTGATGAGCCCCCACACTGGCTTGTGTCCACACACGGCCGTTCATTCTCATTGTTTTCTCCTTGGGATCGGAGATTTGGACCAAGTTTGGGGGTTATTTACTGAAGAAGAACTGGAGATATTAATTTTTTTAGTCTTGGGTTTGATCGACTAGGCGGTGGAAACGAGCTTTTTAAGCTATGGAAAATGTAGGAAAAGGCAGATTTTGAACGGAAAACTGGGGAGATTATTTAAAAAAAGGGTTCTGTGAGAAACCATTGATTTCGATAGTCTCTTCTTTTTCCCCCGTGTCCGTGCGCTGCGTCGCCATCGCTATTATTTACGTTCAAATATAAGACATAATAGTAACATCGTTGCCTAGTTTTTTAGTATCAGAATAATTAATGTTTGGAACTCCCTTCCCGATGTTGTATTTGATCTATGTAATGATTCTATGCGATTCAAAAATCTATTTAGAAAACAACCCCGCATCTTCTCGCTGACTTTCTTAAAATATCTTCTAACTTTTTAAACGGTTTGTTGCTGTTTTTCAATGTTTAAATTTCCCTTTTTTTAAAAAAATTGGTTCTGTTAGAGGTCTTTTTCGGCCCTTGAACTGTATTATTATTCGTATTGAATAAATGATGATGATAAATGATGATGAAGTAGCCAAAAAAAGTACTGGAAAAGTAACAAACAGATCCATAATTAGCATTTTTTTTTTCAGTTGCTCCAAGGGAACTACACAGAAAAATCAGAAAAAAAGCGAGCAGGACTAAAAATTTCCTCAATTTGTTCGAAAGGATCTGAGGATGTGTACACATAAAATAAGTCAAGAAAAGTTTGAAAAATGGGTCAGAATTTTTATAAAAAGCTCTAGCCGCTTCTCATAGTAGATCTTATAGATAATTATCCAGAAAGTAGGGGAAAAAGTTCAGAAACTTTTTAAAAAATTTAAATCGATGAGGATTTTAAAGGGGGCGGCATAGCTCAGCTGGCATACCTCATTTCTAACGTCCGCAAGGTCGTAGGTTCGAGTCCCCCCGAGGTCGACCAAGCCTTTCATCCCTCCGGGGTAGATAAAATTGGGAGCTGCATGCAGCGAAAAGGCTCAATCTCTGCCATCGGCCTTTGGAAAGCCGGCACCGTACTTCTTCCTACGACCTCTCTTGTACCTGATGTTCTACGAGCGAAATTCACAACTTCTCTGCCTAAGCCACAGCTCCTGCCGCCGTTTAAACACAGTTGAAATCAATGAAAGTCGATTGCACATGTACTCTTACATTGAAGATGCAATAAACAGTAAAAAAACAGTAAAACAGGATTTTAAGGGAGACCTTGAAAGATAATGTTTTAATTTCCAGCTTATGAGAAAAGATTTAGTGAATTTTGTTGATCGGCTACATAAATGGGCAAATAGAGGACTTCATCAGTCAGGGTGGACCCACAAAAAGGTTAAAAAGAAGGTATTAAAATAAGTTTAACCCAAGGGTAGTACCATTGAGAAAAATATAATTACGGCTTTTAACTTCAGGGCTGCTTTTAGAAGAAATTGGCGGCCTTCAAAGTTGGTCTGCCTATAAATAATCGGATACAAAAAACTTTATCCTGAAATCGGTTTAAAAAGTAAACTTCACTTGCAATTTTTTCAATTCTTCAGATTCTCCTGGAAGGCCGGACGTCGGCCGAGCTCTACGCCACCGAAAACGTCACTTCAAACGAACCCGTTCTGGCCGACATGGAATTCAGCGGATCGGGAAAGTTCATCTACGTCCTCACTCCTTCAAAGGTTTCCCCTTCTTCCATTTGTGAAAAAAGGCGGAAGAAGCTGAAGTATCTCACGTCGAGTACCGAGGCCCTGTTTGCGCGAATTGAAAAGAAAAGTTGAGCATGGGAAATTTCGAGTGTGTCGCCGCGAACATTTGAGATTTGCGATATCTTTCAATGGAAACCATTAAAAAAAGCCCTCTTTTTTGGCCCTTTTGAAATGAACTGCGGAAGTGTGCCGCGTGTTGGATTGTTTGCACGCAACATTTGCGCCGCAAGTTTCGCTTTTTTTCCTTAAGAAAGTTGCCATATTTGGTGGAGTTCTATTTGAGATTGGTTTGAAGAAAGGGGTCGGAATAGGTTGACTGAAAATTTTCAAGTTTGTCACCTTTGGGAATGTCAAAGATTACCATGTGGAAAAAAATGTCCTGAAAGATTTTGAATTTTCTGAACATGACTAGCTTGACCCCGAAAATTCGATAGTTCGTTATGGGACTCTTGAGGGTTCCAAATGGTTCTATATGAAAGAGGACCCTCTGAACACGATGAAAAACTAGTTTACACCCGATTCTGACCATTTTGAGCCGAGATTCGAATTTTTGAAGTTTACAAAGAATAATTCGACTATAACACCGAAAAATCGATATTTAAAGAGCCCTATGGGTTTTCGAGAGTACCAGATGGTTCTATATGAAAGAGGACCATCTGAACAAAACAAAAAAATTTACTTCGCCCGATTCTGAGCATTTTGAGCACGAGATAGGAATTTATCAACTTTACAAAGAATAAGTCGAATAAAACATCGAAAAATCGATATTTTGAGAACCCTATGGTTTTTTGAGGGTTTCGAATGGTTCTATGTGAAAGAGGACCCTCTGAACACGATAAAAAAAATTTTACTTTATCCGATTCTGAGCATTTTGAGTCGAGATAAGAATTTTCGAAGTTTTTTCCAGGATGAACCATGACATCAAAAACACAAGAAAACAATAGGAACCTTCTTGAAAAATTAGTGAAGTATAGCCTTTTTTTTCATTGAATAAATCCGGCTTCTAGGAAAAGGCAAAATCATAAATTGCTTTTGAAAATCACTTTAGGAACCTTTAGAAGCTTCAAAATTAAACAAATTCTCAAAACTTCAGTATAGGAGGTTACATCTTGCGGGGTTTTTACCGCATTTTTCCTTTCTTCACCTTTCCTCAGTTTCGAACGGAAAAAACCGCTTTGATTCAAAAAATGATGTTGAAGGTGCTGAAAATAGCGACATCGCGGTGCGAATCGCTGTCGAACTCTTGCGACGGATGCCTCCAGAGCCGCGACCCGTACTGCGGCTGGTGCGTCGGGAACAATGTCTGCACGGAAGAGGACGTCTGCGACTTGGTCGTACCTCATACGTCCACCGGCTGGCTCGACTTCCAGAACAGCAAGTGTCCGAAGTGAGTTTAACGATGAATACGGCTTCAAGAAAATTTTAAAAAAGGGCAGAAAAAAATTTTCTGCTATAAAAAAAGAATGTAAAAAGTTTGGTAGGGACAAAAAGTGACGGGAAAAATTTTTCTGCTTTCTAAATAGCCGTAAAAAGTTTGATAGTGACAAAAAATGACAGTCAAAATTATTTTACTGCATGAAAAACCCTAAAAAAAATTGATTTGAACGGAATAAGACATAGAAATAGCCTACGCGGCGATCAAAAAAGACCGAGTTTGAGAATTCGAAGAGTTTGACGACTTCATCAAAACCACAGGCGGATCGAGAAGGTACCATAATGTGTCCACAAAGGTACCTCTCAAAAGGGATCGTGAAGACCCCATAATGTGTCCATCGTGATACCTCCGGCAAACCTTTTAACTATATCTGAGCCATCTCGGAGGTACTTTAGAGTCTCCCTCAAGCCCCTCTCATTTTGCTCAAAATCCTCAGAGGTATCCTCGAGGTACCATCGTGTTCAGAGCCAGCGATATACCTCCGAGGGTCTCGCGATACCCTTTCTTGATTCGCTTATGATCGTTCGAAAGCTAAAGTGTCAAAGGGTCTCAGAGCCAAAATTGGGTAGATCCTGTTTTTTTTTTGCGATCAGGGTACTTTAGAAAACATCACCGTAAATTTAAGCAGAGTTTCATTTTCTGGTCGAAGTTTTCATTTTCATTTCAGCGTGAGATCCGTGGTCCCCGACAAGATCCAAATCACGACAGCCGACTATTTGAACGTGACCGTCGATAATTTGATGACGACCAAGGGCCGACGATTGCAATGTCTTTTCCACTTTAGTGACGGTCGGCAGGTCTCCAGCGAGCCTTCCGTTTTTGATGGGTAACTTTTTTGATTTTCAATAGAGATGGAACATAATTGAGAGGTTTTGAAAGCAAAAAAGGCTCATCTAATTTTTTTTAATGTTAATCAAAAATTCGTAGTTTGAGAAAAAAAAGTGGGTCCTGACACACTAAAAGGGGTTTTTTTGGTTTCAGCTTTACCTTCAACCATAGGGAAGTCGGTTAGATTTTAACGGATTGAAAAGATTTATCAAAAATTAGAATTTATCTGTTGAAACAGGCGAAATAGGTGAAAAATGACCCAACTGGGTTTTCGCAGACCGCAACTACACATAGAAATCTCTTTTTCCAATATTTTTGGGGCTAAAAGTGATTTTGGACATTTTCAGCTCGATTTATCAGTTTTTTAGGGTCCTGAAAATATCAATTTTATTGGTTTTTCATTCCATTTAGTCTTGCTAAACTTTAAAAGTTCACATTTTCATTTCCATATCACTTTAGAAGCCTCCGATGTGCCACTCCAGCAATGGAAAAGCTCCCGAATATTCCCAAAAACCAGTACCATCTGCCCGCCGAGCTGAGGATCGTCGCTGAGGGTGCCACTTGAATTTTTCCCCATTTTTACAAAATATCCTCTTCCAGGAGGAAATTTACCCCTGGCCTCTTCGAATTTCTCGTTTTACGATTGCGGCAGGTACAATAGCTGTTCGTCCTGCTCGGCTAGCGAATTCCCTTGCGATTGGTTAGTTTTGTAGGTTACGGTAACGCAAACTTGTGCACTCCGTAGTGTTGGCGCGAAGTCCGTTTTTCGCGAAAGAGCGGGATATCTCTGCGCTCTCCTCATCTCTCGACATCTCTCTCTTGTTTACGTGCTATTTCCATGTTTCTCTGACCTCGACGGTGAGGGAACAGAGAGACGGAGACACGCAAAAAGTGTCAAGTCGCGGTGGACGGACTATGCAATTTATAATTTATAATTTATTGAGAGATTTGTGTGAACCTAACGAGTCTCAAAAAAATGGTTCTTTCTCGAAAATTTATCAAGTACAATGAGATGAAAAGCTTCATATTGGGGAAAAAGGTACCATTCAATTTTTCAAGGTGCCTGGAATCGAACGAATGTGTGGCCGGGAAGTTGACCGAGGACAAATGTCGGAAGCAACATATCGTCAATGGGTTAAACGTAGGATTTATACTGAAAAATCGATATAATTTTTTTTCAATTTTCCAGCGCGATGGAAACTCAAGAAGGAAAGGCCCCTCGAAATGCCCCCACATTGTGTCGGCCGCCTCGAAAATGTACGTGGCGACTGGAGAAAAAAGGAATGTATCCGTGAAGGTTTCAGACTGGGAACTGATAGGAATTATCTTTTTTTCCAGGTTCAAAACTTGGACTCGTCTTTTATGGGCGATTTCCGGTGCGAGTTCCGGTTTGGAAGCACGGTTCATGAGAAGTTGGCCACCAGGACTTCGGATGATACCATCACGTGAGTTTGAAGTTCTTTAGGGCTTTATGGGAGTGATTTCACGATCCTGGTTACTTGAATTTCTAAAGAAAAATATCATTTTAAAAATTTTTGGTATGACCTCAACTCGCGCAAAGTCGGAATGGTGGATAATGGCCGCGAGAAGGGAGAGGTTTGAAAAAGGCTGCAGAAAGGGAGCAAAAAGGCCACAGAAAAGCAGCAAAAAGGCCGCAAAAAGGGCACAAAAAATGGCCATGCCCCTTTGAAAATTGCAGAAGCTGACTTAAATAGGCTCTGAAATGTCCTGAATTTTAATTTTTTCCAGATGCGAAGAGATGCGTTTCGAACCCTACGGAACCTCCCTCGCCGGCGGCTCCACATCCTTCGGCTTCAACGTCATCTGGTCGTCGACGTCCTCCTCGATCCCCCACCGGCTCGACAACATCAACGACGTCTCCGTGGAAGTCTACGCCTGCGAAATGCTGGCCACCAACTGCGGCCTCTGCCTCACCCTCGACGCCGATAAGTTCGACTGCGGCTGGTGTGCCGTCGAATCCAAGTGCACCAAGCCGCGGGCCTGCCGAGCACGCAACGCCGACGACTGGTTCAACAGCACCCAGCTCTGCCCGAACCCGGTCATCCACGACTTCACCCCGAAGACTGGACCCGTCGGAGGTGGAACCAAGGTGGATAAGACCTTCGAAGACAGACTCAAGTACACTTTTTCAGTTGACGATCACCGGAGCGAACCTGGGTCGACGTGTTGAAGACGTCTCCCAGGCTGTCCAAGTCGCCAACGTCCCCTGCGATGTGGTTCCGGAGGAATATGTCCCTTCCTCGAGGATCGTCTGCATTACCGGAAAAGCACCTGTTAGGGAGAGCAAAGGAGCCGTCGCGGTGAGTCTGTAGAAGAATCTCATGAGCTTGGCTTATTTGAAGAGAAAGAAGAGAGAATAACGGTGGCCTCAAGAGAGACCAGAAAAGTTAGACTGTCTATTTTTCTCTGGTGTCTCTTCAGGCCGCCACATCCACTAAGAATAACTGACGAGATAAACGCGAGGTCGGTGGCGGTACATTGACGAGCTAGCAAACATCTCGCTTTTTTCTAGGCGCGATCTCGCATTTTTCTTGGCGCCATCTCGCATTTATCTTGCATTTCGGAAATTTTCGAATTGCGAGAGAAATGCGAGCTCGCGCCTAGAAAAATGCGAGCTCGCGCCCAGAAAAATGCGAGACAGGCGCGAGAAAAAAAGCGAGATGTTTGCGAGCTCGTCAATGTACCGCCAGTGTCTCGCGTTTATCTCGGCAGTTATTCTTAGTGTCTCTCAGAGCCATTATTTATTAAAAATTGCTCTCTTATTTGGCGGATCTGATGTGTAGTACATTTGAATTGATCGTTATCACTAAGAAGGATGAAAATTAAGTGAAATACGGGAATTCCCTTTCAGGTGACCCTCCGCGCGGACGTTCTGAACTACTACGCTCACTCGACGGAGAGCTTCGCCTACGTGGAGCCGATCGTCTCGTCGATCCGACCGGCCAAGGGACCACGGTCCGGCGGCACCGACATCACCCTGACCGGCGCCGACTTGGACGCCGGAACCGAGGTCGTCGCCAAATTTGGCAACATTCCCTGCGAAGTCCTGTCGCGGACCTCCAAACGGCTCGTCTGCCGAATCGGACCTTCCGGAGACGACGGCGGCTATTTCCCACTCCAGATCGCCTTCGACAGCGCCCTCAGTCGAACAGCCATCCCCATCAACTTTGAGTTCACGTTAGTCTTGGAGTTTATCCGAGATTTAAGCTTTTTTTTTCAGGTCAAATCCGGCCGTTTCCTCGGTTTTCCCCAACCGAACGATTGCGTCTGGCGGAATTCAGTTGGACGTCTCTGGTCAAGGATTCTCACTGCTCCAGAGGCCCCGGCTGATTCTCATCGGATCTAGGTGAATAGGATAGGAAGTAACTTGGGGCGTGGCGTGTCTGCGCTCTCCACCAACAAGACACTGTCTCTTTTATCATCGTGTCAAGACCCTTTTGGATGGCTCAAGCCAGCCGTGAATCATCTATAGATCTGATCAAAGAATCAGCTTTTTGGCTTGTCTTTTGCTCTTTTCATTCACTTTTTTTGACTTCAAGGGGTTACTTAAGCGGCCTCGTGACTGCAAAAATCTCATAGAGAGTATAGTCTGTTCATATTTTTAATTTCAAGTGCAATGACGTCATTCAAAAACGCTCTGTGGATGACTCGCTCTCTGATTGGTTTATAGCGCCATTAGGGGCGGAGCTTGAGCGACGACTTGACATTCAAAATCTGAGCAGACTATAGAAAAAAAAAATTCTTAATCAGAATCTCAACAATGATAATTTTTCTTCAAGAAGCGAAAAGCAGTACGGTCCTCTGTGCTCCATCGAAAGCGATGCCTTGATGAGATGCGTGACCCCAGCGCTTCCACCCGGCGAAAACCATCCGGTCCACGAAGCCGACCGCTCCTACGTCTCTCTCGAGTTCGACTTTGATGGCTCCGAAGCTCAGTTAGTACTGAAATAAACTAAAAATCCTTATCCTTTCACTTCCAGCCGCTCTCGAATCACCGTCTTCCCTAATCCGACAGTGGAAAGCTTTTCCGAAATGCGCTTTTTGCGACCCGGCGACGATTCCTTGACGATCAATGGCAAGGACCTCAACCTGGTAGCCTTGGAGCGCGACATCCTGGTTACGGTCGGAGGGGTCAGCTGCCCGCTGACCGCCCTCGCCAACAGAGTCCTCACCTGCTCGCCGCCCGCCGAAAAGCCCGTCCTTCCCAGCGGAGTCCAGCCCGAAGTCGTTGTGCGCATTGGGAACGTGACGTGAGTATTGAAATTAAGGAAAAAAAATGCTTTGAAATTATGTTTGAAACGAGGTTAGGTATCAAAAAATGAAGTTGATCTTCTGGCGGCTCATGTTCAACGCGTAAAACAAGTCATGTATTGAAATTAAAGAAAAATGCGCCGAAATCGAGTTTTCGAGCACTTTAAGGCTTTCATTGGGTCAGGAAAAGGCAAAATTTTTCAAGTTTTACCTTGAAATTATGGAGAAAATGTTTCGAAATAGGAAGCCTGCACGTCCAAAAGTAACCAGTTATAATTTTTCGCGCCGTAAATTTTAAATTGTGAGCTTTTTTGGTATTTGCAGTCTGGAAGAAGAGTCATTTACTTTTTTAAAAAACTGAGAAAAGTTTTTTTTTTGAAGATTTTTTGGACTTTTGATGGTAGAATCTCTCCTTTTTGTGTACCTGACACTGTAAATTCAGTTGAATATAAGTCGATATTTGTGTTCTATTAAAGAAGTTTCGAATTTCAGGTACACGTTGGGAGAACTTTCCTACGATTCGCCGGGATTCTCGTCCTCCGTTTACATGATCATCCTCTCCTTCATCGGAGCCATGGTCGTCGGCCTGATTTGTCTCGTGATTCTCTACCGCCGGAAAACCAACACCCATCAGCGACAAATGAAGTACCTGAAAACGCAGATGGACACCATCGAGATGAAGGTTTTCGGACCAAAATGAAGAGTTTGAGAAAAATAGAGATTTTAAGGTTGCGACTGAGTGTAAAGAAGCCTTCGCGGAGCTGCAAACCTCGTTGAATCAGTACACGGCCGACTTGCCCCTGGGAACTCCCGCGGCACCTTTTCTCGAGTACAAGGATTACTGTGCTAGGGTTGGTGGAACTTGAAAAATACGCGGGGGGGGGGGGTTTAATTTTTCTCCTAGTCCGAGCTTCTTCATTTGATTATGTAGGCCTGTGAGGATGTGCTTGAAGAGACGCCAGAGAAAGAAGAGCTGTCTGCTTTTCTGGCGTCTCTTCAGGGCCTCGTTGATCTCTCGCTCGTTTGTGTCCAGAAGTTTGTACTGTTCTCCTGGTCTAAGCTCTTCCATTTGATTATGTAGGCCTATGTAGAATGAGCTTGAAGAGACGCCAGAGAAGAAAGGGCTGTCTGCTTCTCTGGCGTCTCTTCAGGGCCTCGTTGATTTCTCGCTCTTTTGTGTCAAAAAGTTTGGAATATTCTCCTCGTCTGAGCTTCTTCATTTGATTATGTAGACCTATAGAGGATGAGCTTGAAGAGACCCCAGAGAATTAAGGGCTTTCTGTTTCTCTGGCGTCTCTTCAGGGCCTCCTTGATCTCTCGCTTTTTTGCGGGAAAAATCTGAAAATTTAAAAATTCAGGAATCAGTTGTTTCCACATCCATCTAGAAAGAAATAGTTCAAAAATTGATAAGATCTTCATTTTTGGTCTTTTCCTGAACCTCACCACATTTTTGGCTTTATCAGTGAATTTTCCAAGTTCAGGTTCTCTTCCCCAACAACCAGAACCATCCAGTTTTGCGGATCCTTGAAGTCGACACCCACAAGGCGGATATCGTTGAGAATGGCCTGAGAGAATTCCACAAGTTGTTGATGAATAAGGTTCATTCCCTCAGAAAATCCTCAAACGGAAGAAGTTCCAGACGTTCTTCCTGACCATGGTTCGGACGATGGAATCCAACAAATATTTCGTTGGAAAAGATCGCGTCTACGTCGGCTCCCTGTTGATGGTCGTTCTGCAGGTAGATAATTGGGAAAAAAGTAGGGAAAAAATCAATAATTTTTAAAATGGAAGAAGCCTCGGCACAATACTGGAAATTCATAATTTTGATCGTTTTAACCGTAAATAGAGCTGTTTCATTGAAAAAAAAAGTTCAATTTGAATTTGGCGCCGAGGTAGTGAAGGAACGGTGTACAGAAAGTTGCTTACCGTAACCTTTTTTAGTCCAGGAAAATGATTTGCGGACTCACGTGCTTGTTTTATTATTGAAAGCTTTCATGACTGGGGTTTTAATAGAAACAAGAGGGGGGGGGAAGGCTGTCGGACTTTTCTGAGCTATTCTAGGGGTCATTTAAGAGGGCTGACGCTACTAAAGTGGTCACTAGAAAGGCTTCAATCGTCCGGGGTGCGTCCGTTTTCCGTTACCAAGGTTCGAGTTAAAATCGGTGAAAAATAACGATTTGTCTATGGAGCAGCTTTGCTCGGAAGTTTTCGGATTGACTTCTTTCCACAGATAGTAACTTCTGTATGACCTTGAGAAGCTCAAAAACTTTGCGTTATTCTTAAAATGTCATGCTTTAGCGGCTCTATACCTTTTTCGAATAAAATCAAGTCAGACTGTGGAAAAAATATGTACTTTCCTCTAGGAGAAAATGGGCTACTGTACCGAAATGCTGAAACAACTGCTCCGCGAACTCATCGAAAGAACGGTCGAGAAGAAATTCCAACCGAAGATCCTGTTCCGACGAAGTGAGAGCGTCGCCGAGAGGATGTTGGCCGCCTGGTTCACCTTCCTCATGTACGATCATCTTACCGTAAGTTGATTTTTTGAAGAATTCAAGGAAAATATGTCGCATTCTAGAACTACGACACGGGAAAACGGCTCTTCGAACTCTATTGGGGAATCAAGCAACAGATGGAGAAGGGTCCGCAGGACGCCCTCACCTTGGAAGCCAGGTAAATTCATTCGCGTGTCCAAGAGAAGAGGAAAAAGCCTGCAAATGACTTAAGTGGTCACTTTGGCTGATAGAAACATATCTCGCGTTTTTGCGAGTGCTTGTGAAATTGTAAATTCATTTCAAAGTGTAACCCTTAAGTGGCCCCTCAGTTTTGCCAAAAGATTGGACTTTGAACCCTTTAAGAGGCCACTCGTCCTTTTTTCAAAAAGTTTTTGTTATTGTTCATACCCCTTAAGCAATCCCTTAGTTTTGGCAAGATCTTGAACTGTGGACTCCTCAAGTGGCCACTCGTCTCTTTTTCGAGAAAATTTTGATATAGGAAATTCTCCTCAAAGCATATTCCTCAAGGAATCATTTAGTTCAGGCATAAAGAAAGAGAAATAGCATGTAAAATTGAGAGAAAAGAAGGTTAGAGTTTTGAAATAGATGCAACTTTTGACAGATATTCTCTGTCGGAAGAGAAGTTGCTGAGGGCCACGTTTGAGTACAAGGAGCTGACGGTTTTCATCGCCGCCGACACGGTTTACGCTCAGCCGGATGTTCCTGTCCGGGTCCTTGATTGTGATACCATCACTCAGGTATGAAATCCGTTAATTATCATTGAAAAAAGGTAAATGGGCGAAGCTTTAAATATGAAAAAGAGCTCGGACCGTGGTAACGCGAACGGGACGCGAATCGGACGTGTCGGGGCATTTCTAGTGACCTCTTTAGTAGCCTCAGCATTCTTAAGTGATCTCTACAATCGCCCAGGAACGTCCGGAGCAGATCCGTTTCGCGTTACCAATGTCCGAGAGGATAAAATAGCTGATTTCTTTCCAGAAACATGTTTTGTGATTTTTGAAACTTATTATTTGAACTGAATGGAATGTGAAGTGGTTGGGCGTTGGAACTAATAAAGACGCTTGATTGAGAAAAATTTTCCGTGTTTTTATGAGAATTTTACAGGTGAAGGAAAAGTGTCTGGATGTGAAATACCGGGCCTACCGTTACTCGGACCGGCCGCTCGCCTCAGAACTCGACCTCGAATGGAGGACTGGCGTCAACGGACGGATGCTCTTGCAGGTAACGGAAAATGGAAAACACACAATTTGTACTTATAAATTCAAGACGACCCGAAAACTCTAGAACTAGCATCAGTTCAACCTAGCCGTCGAAAAAGGGTCCTGACACGATCTGAAAAAATACCCGATAGTGTCTGGTTGGTAGAGAGCGCAGACAGGCCATGCCTCTTTCCAAACTAATCAGCAGTTTAGACCTTAAAATGGTTATCGCCAAGAAAAGTTTGCGACAGAGCGCAAAAATTGTGTGTAACCTTACAACCACTGAATTTTTTCTGATTTCCAGGACGTCGATGCGACATCGCGAACTGAGTCTGGAGGCTGGAAGAAGATCAACACCCTGGGCCATTACAACGTTCCAAACAACTCGATTCTCGTCCTCTCCACCAAGCCGAACTCCATCTACAACTTGGTTATTTTTGAATTTTTTGTTGTCTTAAGACTGTATTAATTTTTGCTCAAAAGTGGCCCAAAGGCGATTGAAATGTTTAACTTCAATTTTTGCAGTCTCTGCTTTCCGAAAGGAGCGAAAAGTCGACGATGAGCCTCAAAAATAGTCCGACGATGACGAGACCCTGGGCTGGTACCAACAGCAGCACTGCCTCGAAAGTATGTTTTATTGGCTATTTTGGGGGAAATTATTGATATTTTTGAGTGGTTTTGGTTCGTCTATCAAATATATAATATTTTTTTAGAAGAATATGTTCTCTTACTTGATAAAATATTGAATTTTTAGGACATGGACAACGGCTTCAAGCTCTACCATCTGGTGAAGCCGACGGAGCACGGTCCCAATGATAACCAGGAGAAAATGGTCACCGAGATCTACTTGACCAGGTTTGGTTTTGGTATTTGAAGAAAAGCCATGGACTTTGCGAAGATTTCTTTTTCCTAGAATGACTTTTGACGTTTCCTAGTTCTGTGGGATCTCATGAACTAGTTTAAAGGCGCAGGGCATATCTTTACGAATTTCGGTGGCCCGAAAGGAAAGCATATGATGAATATAAGATTTCCGCATCTCTAAACGTCCTAGCAATTTTTGAACTTCCTGCGCCTTTAAAATTCACATAAAGCTGTTTAAAGGCGCAGGGCAATATGAGATTGTCTCTTATTTATTGACTTTCGACGTTTCCTTCGTCTTGAAGAAACTCATGACGTAGTTTAAAGGCGCATGGTATACTCTTAGAAAAGTTATTGGGGCGAAACCGTAAATAAAACGTTCTCTGCATCTCTAAACTTCCTTGTAATTTTTTTTTTTTTGACCAGCTCGCGCCATTAATGTTCAAAAAAAGATGGTTTTAGCCACAGGGGGGTAGAAGCTTATCTGAGTTTTTTTTTTCGTTTTCCTCTCCGAAGGTAAGATCATGAGAGAGCGCAGAGGGCCAGACTTTGGAGAACACCTTGAAGAACGAAAGAAAAAATGAGGATTTCCATTTTTCAGACTTCTGATGATGAAGGGAACCCTGCAAAAGTTCATCAACGACCTGCTGGAGTCGATATTTTCGACGCGCTCCTCGCCCCTGCCGGCCTCCATCAAGTACATGTTCGACTTCATGGACGCCCAGGCCTTGGAGCACGGGATCACGGATCCAGAGGTCGTCCACGCCTGGAAAAGCAACGCCTTGCCCCTCCGCTTCTGGGTCAACCTCATCAAAAATCCGTCAGTATAGTTTTTGTTAACTATAACAGGATGACATTTATCATATGGTTTTCGAAATAATCGATCTGTATTAAAGTCAAAAAACCGAGGAGTTTAAGAGAGAGAAAAGTTGATTCATAATGTAAAAAATGCCCTGAACTGTTGGATTTTAGAGCGAGTTCTCGAATTTTTCTGGAAATTCTAGAAAAGTTAGTGAATTCCATGTGATCCTAGGTACAAGGGGCATCATCTGCATTCTAGGTTCAAAATAGAGTTGATTCAATATTTTTGAGACCTTCTTTACATTTCCACTACTCACTAAGAATAGCGGCCACGAAAAACGCGAGGCGGTACATTGACGATATCGCGAAAGTGCCGCACCTTGACGCGATATCGCGTTTTTCTTAACGCGATTTCGCTTTTTAAAAAGTCCTCAGTTTTTTTAAGTTCCATAGAAAGCAAGAAAATCCGTTTGTAAGATTTACTCTATTACGACATCGCTTTTCTCGCGCGCCCGACTACATTAAGAATAACTGCCAAGGGGCGAGATCGCAAAAATGCTGCTTCGCGTCTTTTTTGTATTTCATCTGGCGCGACATCGCATTTAGGATTTTGTCAATTTTTTTTTAATCCTTGAGAAATGCGAGTCCGGCGAGGCGACCAAGCGATTCATTTGCGACATCGCTTTTCTCTCGCAGTTATCTTTAGGGCTAACTCTTGTAGTTATAGACTATATTCTAATTGAGAAAAGTTGAATTTTCAGACACTTCCTGTTCGACATCAGCAAGCCAACCAAGGTGGAAGGATGCCTCTCTGTGGTCGCCCAGACCCTGATGGACGCCTGCTCGACCCAAGACCACCAATTGACGAAAGATTCCCCCTCGAGCAAGCTTCTGTTTGCCAAGGACATGTATCAGTACCGTGACTGGGTCGACAGGTGACATTATCACTTTACCTGCTATCGCGCGTTTTTTTTTCGAAAGAAAATGTCTGAAATTTACGACTTTTTGGCGTCGTAACTATCAATTATCAGCATGAAGTTTTGCTTGATAGCGTTGAGACTGAGGAAAAAAAACGGTTTAACGGTTTCAAGGAATGTTTGAAAATCATTTCGACATTTTCGAACTAATGATAGTGTTGACAGGGATTAATTTCTCAACTTGGGTGAGAGGGTCGCATTTGGAATGGCTCAGTGATCAATAGTTTGAAAGTTCAAACGTGACCGCGACACATTGAGCCATTCCACCTGCGACCACGGCGTTTAAATTTATGAGAGAGGTTCATCTCTTGGATTGAAAATCGATGGTCGCATTTGGAATGGCTAGACTAGCTTTGGAGTCGATGGTCGCATTTGGAATGGCTGGGACGGTTGCTTCAGAGTTTGATAGATCGAAAAAGAATTTTCAATGCGACCCTCTGAGCCATTCCAAGTGCGACCACGGCGTTTGAATCTTTGAGAGAGGTTCACCTCTTATTTTGGAACTCGATGGTCGCATTTGGAATGGCTAGGTTGCTCTATAGCCTGATAGATCAAAAAAAAAGTTCTAACCGCGACGCTCTGAGCCATTCCAAATGCGACTACGGGGTTTAAATTTGTGAGAGAGGTTCACCTCTTGGATTGGAACTCGATAGTCGCATTTGGAATGGCTAGGTTGCTTCAGAACTTTATAGATCAGAAAATAATCTTCACTGCGACCCTTTGAACCATTCCAAATGCGACGAAAGCGTTTGAAAAAATAATATGAGAGCGAATTTTTTGACTTGGAAAGAAGGCGTTGGTCGCATTTGGAATGGCTTAGGCCGCTTCAGAACCTGCTAGATCGGAAAAAAAATTCTAACCGCGATCATCGCAACCATTCCAAATGCGACCTTAGCTTTTCGAACCCAAGTACTAGATTTTTTAAAATTTACCCATCAAAACATGTTAAAAACATTGTCCTGTTCAGCTACTACACGGAAATCTCGCGAGTGCCTCCGATTTCCGACGCCGAAATGGGCGACCTGCTGAGCAAGGAGAGCTCGGCCCGGCGCAAGGAGTTCCAGGTCTTCTCGGCGCTCAACGAGCTCTACAAGTACCTCGATCAGTACAAGGAGAGCATCATGGACGCCCTCGAGAGCAACGAACACGCTCAAGCGAGCAGGTTACCTGGGCGCCTCCAGGTGTGTTTTTAGATGCGAAAAACTTCATCATTAGCCGTGAATCATCAAAAATTGAGTGGAAAAAAGTCCTTGAGAGAATTTTCATTTAAAAAAAAAATAATCTTAGGACTTGAAAATCAAGTTATAATGAAAGAAAGACGGTAGAAAGAAAAATTTCTGGTATTTTTGAAAGACACACGAAAGTGTCGTCAAATGAAGTGTTTGGTACGCAAAACTATTCACGCCAAAATGCACCAAAATAATAGTTCTGTAGGCTGAAAGAAAATCATAGATAGAGATTGACTGCAGAGACGTTAGAGAAAGATAGACACTCTGACTTCTCTGGCGTCTCTTCAGGCCACCGTTGTTCTATCCTCTTTCTTGAACTTTAAAAAAAAATTAGGATCAGTACTGAAAAAATTATAGAGAGTGAGATAATAGTGACGGCTGGAAGAGACTCCAGAGAAAGAGAATCAATCTGACTTCTCTGGCGTCTCTTCAGGCCACCGTTGTTCTATCCTCTTTCTTGAACTTTAAAAAAAATCAGGATCAATTCTGAATTTCCAGGACATGCTGGCGCTGATGGAGTCGGAGTGCGGCCGGGCTACCGACTACGAAAGTTCGACCCTCGGCCTCGGCTACAATTCCAACAGCCGATTGATGCCACGGGATCGCATTTAGTTGTTTATCAATTAATTATTTCTTAAGAACATAGAAAAAGCCACGACGGGTTGCCAATTTGCGCTTACGTGATCTTTCCCCCTCGGTGCCGATATGCTGGTTTTTATACTCAATATGTTTTCCTTCGAGTCATCATTTAAGTATTTCCGCTAATGTATAATAAAAAAAAGACGAAAATCCCTTAAGTACTTCCTCATGCACTCTTACAGCGGGTAGACGCCGATTCCACTAGTTTCCTCTTTTTTTTCAATTGTTTTTCTTGTATTTTCTGTTATCCATTCTTACTTATTGCTATATGACGTTGTAACTTGACAAATTGCCCAATGAATTGCCGCGCTTTTCTTTTTGTTCATTTCGTTTTGGTTGATATTTCAAAATGCTCAATTTTCGGTCTTTCTCGTCTCTCTAATAACGAAAATCTTGCTTTTGAATATCTCATCTTTATAGCGAACCTATTATTGATTATTCGTCAAATTGCCATTTTTCTCAGATGTGTATATGATATTTTCTTCTTAATATGCAACAAATGCAATCGCTTTTCCTTCGTTTTTTTTTTCAGATGCTGAAGTAAATTTTTATTGATTTGGCAAAGGAGGGGACAACTATCACATATTTTTGGGGTCATAAATACAATATTTATAAAAAATCGTACATTTTCTTCGTGTCACCCGTAGGAGAACACTGGGCGATTAGATGGGGATTTTGCGAATATTCAAGTAAAACCGGTGGTTTTCTGAGGCCGTTCCGCAATTTACTCGGTGAATGGCTCAATTTTGCGTTTTGAAAAGGTTGAGATCAAAATCGGGCATTTTGAAAAAAGACAAAAGTGTCGTCAAATGAAGTGTTTGGTACGCAAAAGTACTTACGCAAAAATGCACCAAAAATTATTTTCTTATTTTTCTTTTCTGTATGTTACTGTTTGATCTTTCATAACATAGTAGAGTTGAAAGAAAGAGAGAAGAGAGACGTCAGAGAAAAAGAGTGCTCTAACTTCTCTGGAGCCTCTTCAGACCGCCCTTTCTCTCATTTTTCTCCTTCTGAAGCCATTCACCATTCAATTGCATGCGGCTGGAATTTAGGGGCATATCCGTAAAGAGATATCAGATAATTAGTCATGTCATGGGGCGGGGAAAGCTGAAAAAACTGCTAGAATGAGATCAGAGCCATCTGCTCTGCGAATCTTAAAGTGCTCTAATCGGATCTGATGAAAATGATAGATATGGCTATTGAGCTAAATCGATAGAATAATTAAAAGATGTTTAGATAGGCCGAAGACTTGTCCTAAGTGGTCCCTGAAGGGAGCAAGAGCTTTTCTTGACAAGACAGCAGTGAGTGGACTATTTCAGTAATTAAAAAATGGCATATTTTAAAATTAACAATGGAGGAACCTGTGCGTACCGATGAACAATTGAAAAAAGTTCCTAGAAGGGTTTTCTAGATTTTTCGTACAAGTTAAGAAGAATCACAGAACGGTGTTACTACGACGTTTTCTCTCGGTTTGGTCGGAAAATAGTTTGAAAAGAACCTCCCCGAGGCGGTCCACTTCGCTCACGTTGCGAACCTGAAAAAAGACGATTTATTTCACGGAGGTACGCCGAAGTGGTCGCTGAAGGGATGAGGGGAAAAACAGAAGGGGGCAGAAAAGCGCCCTCTATAGGGTTACAGTCGAAATGGTCTCTATAGGGGTTCAGGATCTGACCCCTCAAGTAATTTCGCATGAAAATGCCTCTTCTGTTAAAGTTCATGGGAGGCTTCTTGAGCAAGATACAGTTCATAATTCCTCTTAGAGTTCGTAACAATAATCGGCAAGCAGTGTACCCTATAGGGGCCACTAACTAAAACCCCTATAGGGGCCACTTTTTCATGCTTTGATGGTTCCTATAGGAATTCAGGATCTGACCGCTCGAGAAGGTTCAAGAAAAGTTTTTTTTCGCACCGCAAAACATAAATTTTTTGAGAAATTCGACTCTTTCATTTTTCTCTACAGTAACCTCTCTTTATACAGAACGAAAATTTTGATATCAAAGAAAAAAATCACCAAATAAAGCAATGTCGTCCAGATCATGTCCATCAGTTTCGAGTCGTCGATCTGGTCTATCCGGACATTGATTCCCTGAAAATGAGATCTCAATCACCTCCCTTCAATGCCGTCATCAGCCCAACTTTGAACAAAAACCGTTTCAAAAGCCAGAAAATCAACTTTCCCTTTGTTCAAAGTTCCTTCTCAAATCGACATCATGTTATCGAAAAAGCCATGTCTCTCGTTTATGTGCACTCGGATTATCAATTGATAACGAAATGTCGAAAACAGTCCGTTTATCAACTATTTGTGACTGGTCATTTCAAAGAATGATTATGTGAAGCTCGCTGCTTGCAGAAAATCAAAACAGAAAGGACAGTTTGAAAAATAAGACAGAGAATGGCTCAAGGCGTCGCGGGACCTGTTGCCCATTTCGAAAAATGCATATTTTTTAATCGTCTCATTGCAAATTCATCAGAGAAACAGGAAATTTTCGGTGATTCACAGTAATTTTTTCTTCTCAATCAACTTAGATCTTTGCAAAAATCAATACAGAAAGGAGGTCAGAGAGTGGCTCAAGGCGTCGCGGTCGCGGAGCGGTTGCCCGATTAGGAAAATATTCTTCTTTTTGGATAAGTCATCTAATTACAAATTTATAATAAAAATGGGACTTTTTCGGAAAATTTAAAAGGAAATTTTTCTGAAAAAAATAAGTCAGAGAATGGCTCAAGGCGTCGCGGTCGCGGAGCGGTTTTCTATTTTGGAAAAAACATTTTTCGAACTTTATAGATCATTCATCTGAGAAACGGGACATTTGTGATTCACATTAAGTTTTTTTCTCCCATTTATAGCCCGGCACTTTTCGCGCGTCTGCGTCTCTCTGTTCCCTCGCCGGCAAGGTCAGAGAAACATGGAAATAACTCGGAAACTCGAGAGGGTCACCGAGAGACGAAGAGAGCGCAGAGAAATACAGCCATTTCAAGTCGCGAAAAAAGGAGTATATATTAAAATTGCCTTCCTAAAATTCTACCAGACTCAAAATGATCGAATTCCGGCTTAAAGCAGACATTTGGAACTTCGAATTCCCTTAAGCAGCCACTTTTGGACCCGCCATTTATTATTTACTAGCCTTTCGAGACGGATTTGTATGTACCTTGGGACTGATTTTGACTTTTTCTTAATTTTTTTCAAAAAAAATACTTCCAATACCCTTTTACAACCTTTACCATACTCAAAATAATCGAATTTTGTATCAAATGAACAGTTTTCACTGAAAAATCACTAAAGTAATCACTTTTTGACCGCCATTTATTATTTACTAGCCTTTCAAGACCGATTTGTACGTACCTTGGGACTGATCCTGACGAACGGGATATTGTGGGCGTGGCAGCGATCTTCGGCCATCTCAACGGCCGTCAAATCCTGCCCGACGACCTGGGAGGATAATCTTCGTTGATTAGTTAATTGACAAGTCAAAGACCTGCTCGAGGATCAGGGTCGAGAGATGGCCAATGTTCTTGGCCCTCGTCCGGATGCTCTTCCCCAGTTTGTACTTTCTGTCGGAAGATTCCGGCTCGCCGGTTCCGATCGACAGAACGCAGGCCAGTTGCAGGGCGTTGCCGTGCTTCACGAATAGGTCATACTCCTAAAAATAGGGTCTTCTGAAGAAAAGGACATCCAGCACGTTCAAAATGCAGAGCTAAAAAGAGATTTTGGGCAAAAAAAAATTCAAAGATTCTACTTTGAAAATGTGTATTGAGCATCGAAAACAGAATTTTTTAAACTTCCAACCCCAAGTCGAGTTTTTGAGAATGGGTACTCTTGAAATTAGGGTCTTTCAGAGAAGGGACTTCCAAAAAACTTGACAACACAAAATAAGAAGATTTTTTGGCAACAACCCACAAAAAAATATTGAAGAAGAGAGCCCATCTTGCTCATTTTTAACCACTGAATCGAGTTATGGGACCTTCAAGACGCTAAAATTATGATATTTTCGACTTTAAAAGTAACGGTAACCCCCCTCTGTTTTTTTGAAGCTTCAACCTTCTATTTTCCAAAACAGAAGACTTTACATACATCTCAGGAAAGTTTCAAGAAAACCCTAGTACCGTAAGTGTCCTTCAATAAATTCAATCAGAAAACCAGAAAAAAAAACCAATTTTTATCGAATTGAGTTTGGAGAGCACCTTTAAAATGCGACAAGTCAGCGATGAACAGACTATAAAATCTCCTCTCTCATCAAATCTTTTGATCTTTTATGTTATCCTCAATTCGAGAGTTCTTTTGTTTTCATCTCTGAGACCCTCTCTTCTTCACGTTATCACGAAATTGATAGAAAACCGTCTTCACGTGCTAATATCGTGAACAAAGGAAGTAAAACGAGGAAATTCTTACAAAATTCGAATTTTTCTAGATATCAGTGAAATATAATGATTTAAAAGGCCGTTAAAAGACTTTAAATGCTCTTCGCTTCAAGACCTTGAGAAACTTCTTTCCTATGCTCCTTTAAAGACCCGGAAAAAGCGAAACAAAAAAGAGAAAAATTTTTCTAATTTCGCTGCCTTTACAATAACTTAGAGGGCGTTTAGAAGACTTAAAATGCTCTTCGCTTCAAGACCCTTGAAATTTTCTTGTCTATGCTCCTTTTAAGACCCCTGAAGAAGTCAAGTAAAATGAAGAAAATTTGAAAAATTCGCTGATTGCACTGTTTATTAGACCGTTTATAATAAATGAGAAGTTCATTGAAAAGCTCAAAATGTTCTTCACTTCAGGACTTTTAAAGATTTCAAGCCTATGCTCCTTTAAAGACTTGGGCGATGTAAGATGAAGAAATGATCGAAAACTAAGAAACTTTTTTAATTTCTCTGCCTAAAGTTCCTTCATAAAATCTTAGATGACGTTTAAAAGGCTTAATACGCTTTCCGCTTCAAGACCCTTGAAATCTTCTTGTCTATGCTCCTTTAAAGACTCGTGGAAAGGCAAAGAAAAAATAGGAAACACTTGCGAAATTTGGATTTCAACGCCTATCCGTTCATTCATGATGACTTAAGAAGTCATTAAAAAACTTATAATGCTCTTGGCTTCAAGACCATTTTTAATTCCTTGCCTATGCTCCTTTGAGCAAAATTTGAGGCGAAAAAGCCAAGCCACACCTTGAAAAGCACGTTAAGCGGGTAATTGGCAACAAAAGAGCCGTCGACAAAAACTTTGTCATTGTAGATCAACGGCTCGAAGTAAGTCGGCGCGGCGCTGAAAAATATTTTTTATTTTTTCACAAACTCCAGAAAAACCTGCTAGCCCTGGCGGCGTCTCTGAACAACATATCCTGTTCTTCATCGAGTTGAACTCCGAAAGGACGAGTAAATGAATAATTCCTAAAGAAGATCGGTTATCCAACACATTTTGGGTGTTTCCGAACCTAAAAACGTGAAGTTTGGCCGGGGCTCTCATGATATCAAGGGCCGGAACTGTGAGCCTTCTTGGACATTTATGGAAAGTTTCCGTCGGGAAGCAACCTTCCAGGACCCGATTTATGTTCTTCGTTTGTACAGTGACCTGAAAAAAGGATCATTTAAGGGATTTTTTTCAAAAAAAAAGCCTCAGAAAAGTTGAAGTTTGTGAAATAAATATCCTCGTCAAACGCGTTTAAGTGCGCTCCACTGATAATCCTTCATATTTTTGGGCCTTAATAACACAAACCGGAAGCGCGATACAAAAACTCTAGGGATCACTTAAGGGCGCTAAGGATACTGAAGTGGTCACTAAAATTGCACAGGAAAGTCCGGAGCAGTCCTTGGATTTTGGTGAAGCGAACCAGATTTTTCAGTATTTCTAGGGATCACTTAAGGGCGCTAAGGATACTAAAGTGGTCACTAGACACGTCCTGTTAGCCTGGTACAGGTCCAAGCTGGTTTCTCATTTCAAAAAGTGTAGAAAACTTCAAAAAATCATACATTTAGCTATGGAGTGCACTTCATCCTAACAATTTTCGCGGCTCTTTTTCCTTCGAAGCTCACCTGATCTCCAAGGAGGCGGTTGAATGTTGAGCCACGTAGGAAAATCTGCGCTTTCATGTTCCAATACTGGAAGAAGCAGTCCCGGATCGAGAGGCCTTTGGCCAAAGAAAGAGCCAACATTGAACCCGTACTGAAAAACTTATTCAATAACTCATTGAAGGGGTAAAATTGAATTTTGCGATCTGAAATATTGTCATTTGGAATAACCCGACCCCTAAAAATTAAATTCACTCCAAAAAGTCGTGATTTTTCCTTGATTTTGCCACATTCATCTTTAAAAGTCATCCATTCCTGAAGAAGTTAATCTTAAAAGTTGGCCAGAACACTCCTTAGTGTACCAGAAGAACATATAAAAAGTATCAAGCTTCCCAATTATCTAGATTTTGAGAAAAGATGCCTGAAAGTCAAAGAAAGCTCTGAAAATCCGTAAAAATGGGTTATTTTTCAGCTTGGAGCCCTTAATTCTCAAAAACTCGGTAGTTTTTCAGATTGAGACTTTCAGAATCTTCTTTCAATACATCGAGTCTCCTGGCCAACTTTCAGAAAATACTCTTAATATGACCCTCCTTGTGGCTAAATCCATTATTTAAAAATTTTCCTTATATTTTTCCTTTATCCCGTTCACTTTGTAGCGCGTGGGCTAGCAATTCAAGATACAAATTGAAGAGAATGGGTTCTCCTTAACAAAGGCTACAATTTCAGGAAGCAAAATATCGCGTTACCAAGATTGTAGTTTCCTCTACTTTCTTGGAAAATTTTGGACAAAAAACTGCAAAAAAAAGTCTATTCAGATTTTGCAAGTCAAGGCTCAAGCTCCGCCCCTAATGTGATAAACCAATGAGAGCGTTTCCTTATCAAAATCTGACCAGACTATCCCTGTCAAAGACGGAAGTGCGTAAAACGGGTTCAAAAAGGCCGCTAAAAGGGTTCCGTTTTACGGCCTTTATTGAGCCTTTCTTTCTTGTTGGGCTAAAAATCCTTGAAAAAGATGAAAAAAGGAGAAAAGGGCCATTAAGACTTTGCCTATGAAATGAAAAGAAACGAAGATTCTCAAAAAATAGAACTTTTTTAAAATATCAATCATTTTGTACCTCGTCCCAATGAGCCAGTCAAAGTAGTCAGGCAGGGACTCGTCGCCGAAAAGTCTCTTGGAGGCGAATAAGAGACACACGACGGAGACGAGACCTCGCATCCCGCCGCCGTCGAGACACAACGGAAGGACGCCTTCTATCCGTTTCCCTCTGGGGATGTTCAGCGGCGTCTGAAAGTTTTAGAATAGCCTAGGAGCACGGTTATTTTAGGGAAAAGTATCAAAATCCGGTAAAAGCTCTGATTTCTCCAGAACTAGGAAATTGCTGGAGCAAGTTCACAGAAAGTTCCAGAGTAAAAAATGGCTAGAAACACGCCTGCTCGTTCATCTCCTCGTATATGGCTGAGGCATACTCCAGAAAATCGTTCCATTTATGGGTGCAATCATCGCAAACGCTCCCGTTGTCGATTCGGTCCCGCAACGTCTTCTTACCGTAGTCGTCAACGTAGAGACTGGCCGGATCGGCTCCTAAAAAGAAAGAAATTGAGAAAATTGAACAAAAAAAATTTTTATCTTTTTAGTCAATTCTAACAGATAAACGAAATTTTTCAACTTCTAGTGAAAAAAATCCCATGCAATAATTGGAAACTCTTGGCCAAAAAAATTCGCACTTTAATCAAAAACAAATAAAATTTCTAATCGAGAATCTCATAAGAACGTGATGATGAAAAAAATAAAAAAACAGAAAAACAAAAAAATAATTATAAAAAAATAATTTTGGGCGATGATCGCTTTGTCCGATAGAGCAAATTTTTCTCTAAAATATTCATTTTCCTCTTTTTTTAAGAAACTTTTTCTTTAGAAAAGCGTGTTTTTCTGTACGGTTTCAGGCTGCTGAAGCTTCGAAAAAAAAGTTTATTATTAAATTGAAATTAATTTGGAAAAAGTACTCCAAATAAAAAAACGAAAAAAATTTTTCCCAGTTCTTAATTAAAAAAAGAACTATGGTTATCAGTTCAGTAATTAAAAAAAGCAGTGAGTTGAGTACACCTGCTGATTAATTATTATTCGAGAAGCACCTGGCTTCCAGGATAACTTCATTAATTACTCATTTCTAGTCAGTTTTCCACTTGCCGGTGATTAATTCTAATTAGAAGTTAAAAGTTTTTTTTGAAGAAATAAAGATTCAAGAGAATCTAGGAATATGACTGAAATCTTACCCAGAGTGAGAAGCAATCGCGCTTCTGTGATTGTCGACTGCGGTATGCCCCAAATATCGTGAAGCTTGGTGGAAATCTGAAAGTTTCGAGTCTTGAAAAAAATCAATCAACATAATTTGTGTTTCATTTGATTTTTTGGGAAACATTTGAAGGTTTTCGTCGATTTATCCACTCACCTGTTGAGGTTGGGCAGTTTTGAGGAAGTTGATGATGTTGTCCACTCTCTCATTCTTCTTACTGGCGCTCAGACGATGCGCACAACGTTCGGAAGGCATCGTCGGCTTTTTCTTGATGTTTCCCAAGGACCTGGGAATAAAAATAATAAATTCTGAATGAAAATAGAAGAGATAGTGCGCTCGCAGACAGGAAAAACGATTCAAAGAAGCCTTGAAATTGAATTTATGACATATTTTGTTTAGCTTTTGTCACTTTTTTGATTGAAAGATCTAAAAAACTCTTCGGAATGGTAAAGTTTGGTAGTGGCGATAATTATGACGCAGGAGTTTATTCAATTCTTAATTATTGAGTTATCAAGAAGGTCATGTAACTAGTTATTCTTCTGATCTTAAAAAAAATACGGAACCCTAGGTCAAGAAAAAATTAAAGTTTAAAGGCGCATACGGGCCTCATTCTGAGATATCTTGACGCGAAAATTGATTTCGAAAAATATTCAGTGCGAGGCTAATAATAGATCTACTAGAATTGATGTCAAAACAGTAACAAAGAGTCCAAATTTAAAGGCGCATACAGGCTTCGTTCTGAGATATCTTGACACGAAAATTTAGGACATGAACAATTCAATGCAAGCCTATCAATATATCTACTACGAGAGGTCGCTGTTCAAATGAGTTCCAGTTTAAAGGCGCATGCAGACCTTTTTCTGAGACGTCTTGACACGAAAATGCATGCCGAAAATTATTCAGTGCCAGCCTTACACATTGTCTACTACAATTGATATCAAAACAGTAAAATCTTCAAATTAGTCCGAGTTTAAAGGCGCATAGGCAGAGCTTGTAAAGACATCCAGAAACGAAACCGCTCGAGCCGTCCAAAAAAGGGACATTCGAGGCCCGGGGGGCGGAGGTTATGTCAACGAAAAAGGCGAGAGAACAGGAGAGGCCGTTGTGGGGTGATAAGAGGGCAGGTGGGGGGAAATGTCTAATCAGCGGAGGGCTAGACTCAACTGATAGCAAGGCAAAAACTGTTCTCGTAGGGCAACTCGAGAGGTTTCGCTTTGCAAACTCTGTGACAAAACCAAGAAAGGGGAAAGAAATGTGACTCACAAATAAGTAAATATAAAAAATCAACAAACTATGTTATCATAACGGTTTTTCTTTTCCTTCCAAAGGTATTGATAGCGTAACAATTGTTGGTCATAGGGTGAATTCCTTTTTTGGAAAGAGAAAACATCAAAAATGAAGAAAGGAAACTGGTTTCGGTATTTTGATTTTTGAAACATTTTGGACGCATTTGGAATGTCTCCCAGTTGCGGCTCCGCTGCAGTTTCACTGAGTGATTTCAAATTCTTAGAAATTTCAGAGTGGTCCCTATAGGGTTTAGAGCAACAAACAGCCCCTATAAGGACCGAAAAAGTGGATCCTATAGGGGTTCAAGCTCTGACCCCTTAGCCTCTAAAGCTCAAGAGATCCCTATAGGGTCTTTCAATTTATTCAAAAAACGCATATTTATTCCGTTTTCCCAAGAAGAAGCTTGTTCATAACATCTATCGACTAGCATGTTCCCTATAGTGGTCACTAACTAAAACCCCTATTAAGACCACTTTTGCAAGTTTCAGTGGCCCCTATAGGGGTTGGTAAAGCGGTCCCTCCAAGGGCCTCTAAGCTTGCCCCTATAGGGACCACACTGGAGCTCCTAAGAAAGTGGCGGCGCACCCGGTTCTGCTTCATAATGCCTATTAAGGTACCTATTCCGTACGAGATTTTGGAATGGTTCATTTCTCAATCGTACGATTTTTTCCATTGTATTCCAAAGTTATTACGGTAGCTCAAGAAAGGCATTTTTTCGACTGATTGCCCCAGGGGCGCTATAAAAAAAAAATCAACGGAAAGTTCACTTTTTCCGGGGTTTGTTACACTCTCATTTTTGTTAGAGTATATAACTTGGAAAAAAATTAATCGGATAAAAACTTAAAGGCGCATGACTCATGAGCGAAAGGATATCCTGACGCGCAAATTGGTTTGATTTCTTACCGTCTCCGTTCTTTTTTTAATTAATTAAGTTAGTCATAAATCTTAATAATTATTGTCTATCAACTGGATACGAGGAAGTCTAACGGAAAAAAATATTTTGAGCCGAAAATTCGAAGAGCTTCTAGAAACGAGTTGTATGGTGAATGGACTATGAACCCTTATTCTAGAAGAAAATACGGAAGGAACCTGCAAAAATCCTCGTTTCTCTCCTAATAGGGCGCGAAAAGCTCATTTGACAGCGCTTTTTTCTGGACGTTTGGTAAACAAATCTTCTCCTTTTTTTGGCAACTTTTCTGGCTTCTTCTTCTTTTATAGAAGGATTCTTGGGGGAGGGGGGGGGCTTGAAAAGGTCCTGAGCCATTCTAAATGCGATCAGGGGGGGTTGGAATATGATAATATCAAGCTAAAAAAGCTTTAGGATTTTTAAATTCCAAGACGAAAGAAATCAAAATTTCAAAACACTTCCAATCAAGGAGAACAATTTCAAGACAAAAAGGGACAGAAAAAACTTCAAAAGATGATTTTTTGAGCTCACTCGGTCTTTGAAGCTTGGAAAATTGATATTTGAGAAAGATGGAGAAACATTTCCTAGTCAAACAGAAAAAAAGGCTCCTGGGCGTGTAAAAACCCAAAAAAAAACTGAGAAAGAACGGTTTTTCGAGCTCTTTTAACTCGAAATTATCATTCCTAGGCTCTTAAGATAAAAAATAAATCATTTCCCAATGGAAAAGACGAAAGAAGGGCGTCTTTCTGGCTGCGAATCGCCATAACAGTTATCAATGAAGCCAAACAAGCGCCGCCGAAGTGATAAAAATCGTGAGTTCCCCCCGCTGGTTGGCTCCGCCCACTAGTTGAGGCTCAACACAAACGCTCACGCCGGCTGCGACTCACCGTTGTGTCGAGTGCCGAGAGCTTTCCGATCGATATCCGCCTTGAGCCAAACATTTCGTTTTTTTTTTCCTCCCGCCCTCTTTTCCATTTGCCCTTATATGATCAGAGTTTCGAGACGAGTTGCGTGTTCCGAAATTGGATAACTAAGAAAATTTGGAGGAGGAAGTGGAAGGTGGTTCTGAGAAAAAGAAGTTTTTTTCTCTGAAAATCTGATTTCGTTGTCTTTTTTTGAATAGTCTACTCAGCTTGGCTCAAAGAAATACTGCGCAGACGTCTTACGAAACTACTCGAGCTCGGATACGCGTATTACGTTGAAGCTACGATGGCTTACAGATTTACGTAAGAGCTCTTTAAAAAAATGGGGATTATCTGCTAAACCACATAAGCTTCTAAAAAAAAAGCTTCTCGAAAAAACGCAGGAAGAGTCCTATACGCGCATGAACCTCCCTCTCTCACCGTGGTGGTCTGGCGCAGTGGTTAGAGGACTAGTCCGATGTTTGACAAGTTCAATTTCGATCCCTGTGGAGGGCAAACTTTTTGCATTTTTTGCAAAGTTCTTTGTAAAAGTACGGGATTTAATGCGCGTACTCGAATTCGAGTATTTTCCTAGTAAGTCTTATTTTAGCACACTCTCTCACTCAAGCCAGCGATGATTGAACTTTTTCAGAATTTTTTTACATAAGGACTCAAATCTAAGATTTTTTCAACTCGTGATTCGTTGAATCACGTTTTAGTAATTTTCATGTCTATTTTTTCAAAAATCAACTTCCTCCTTCCTCCTTCCTTTTTCTCTATCCCTTTACCATAGAGACTGATAAAAAAACGAAGCATCGACCTTTAAAAAAATGCAATAATTTATTAAAAAAATCTCTCATAGTACAAGAAAAAAAGTGTTCCAATCGGCAAGTATCACAGCAATGTAATCAAATTATCAATTTCAATAAATTAGTTAATATTCAATGGTGATGGTCTTGGTCTGGAGGTATTCGTTGAGCGCTTCTTCTCCTAAATCCAAAGTTGAGAAATTGGGGAGAAGCTGAGAAAGATCAAGTGCACTCAAAAAAACGGCTGATCTCCTCGCGGGGTCGTGATTTCTCAGCGGGGCACATTTGTGGCGGAAAAAGCTGACACATGTTTCGTGGATTTATTGGAAAAAGTTGCATTTACTGATGCCGTGTTCAAAGTAATTTCCGCGAAATGCAAAATGGTCTCTGACCCTCCAAACTTTAGTTATCTTTCTCTTTCTCTGACAGCTATTTTGAATTTCGCGGAATCACTTTGAACACGGCATGAATATATCTTGTTCACGGTTGGCTTGTGATGTTAAGGGGCGTGGCTTGTCTGCGCTCTCCACATACCAGGCGCTGTCTCTTTTTCATCGTGTCAGGACCCGATGTTCAATGGCTCAAGCCGACCGTGAATCGCTTGGACATTGGTAAGACGTTTCTGGGCGATTCTAGGGATCAGTTAAGAGTGCTGATGCTACTAAAGTGGCCACTAGAAATGCACAAAAACGTCCGGAGCACGTCCGTTTCGCGTTACCAACGTCCGAGCAGCTATACTTCCCTAATTCAACTTTTTATTTTTGATCTCAACGAACTTTCTGAAATCGAGAAAATGTACTAAAAATAAAGGTACACTTTTTTCGTACTCTAAAAAAGGGCAGCTAGTCTGGGAACTACAATTTCCGAGCTAATCTGTGATGTCTGGGAATGACTTTGAGAAAAAAAAAAACCGCTTGAAAAAAGCCTACCCAAAAAAAAGCCAAAAAACAGCTGTCGATTGAAAAAAAAATCGACGCCACATGTTGGCCACATTTTTTGACCAAATGAGCTTCATGGCAGTCTCGAAATCTTTTTTTTTTGAATGGGGGAAAATTTTCTGCGTTGCCTACCAAGTGGCCACTTGAGTGGGTTTTCCACTTTGCTGCTCTACCCTCAAGTGGTTAGAAACTTATTAAAAAACTTTTTTTTTCTTTCAGATTGGGAAAACTGTTCCGCGTCCCTCCCAAATGGCCACTTAAGTGAATTTTCCAAAACTTCCTCGGTTTTCCCCTTAAGTGATCCCTAGAAACTTCTTCCGAGCTAACTTGACCTATAATGTCTATGGAGCTAACAAGATGGTTTTTGAGGCTATTTTTTCAAATAATCCCGATTTTAACACAAACCAAGAAACTGTCTGGTTTCTCTGCGCTCTTCTCTTTCTTGAACTTCCTCGGCAAGAGAAAAGAGAGCGCAGACAAGTCAGTTCAAAATTCCTCACCCATATCCTTTCCAAATCCGGACTGTTTGAATCCACCAAACGGTGCAGCGACGTCAGTTTTCTGATAAGTGTTCACGAAAACGGTTCCGGCTTGCAAGGCCTCAGCCACACGGAGCGATTTCGAAGCGTCCTAGGACGATTCTTTCCGTATAAATCCTTATTTTCGAACCTTGGTGAAGACACCGGCGGCCAGACCGAATTCTGTGGAGTTGGCCCGTCGGAGCACATCCTCGAGGTTGCTGAAAACTCAGAATTCTTCTCAAGACCTTTAAATAGGTACATACTCGTCGTCGAAGCTGGAAACACACATAATCGGGCCGAAAGACTCCTCTTTGGCCGCAAAATTGTCGTCCTCCACGTTAGAGAGTATCGTTGGCGGGAAGAAAAGTCCTTCTCGGTCTAATCGTTCCCCGCCGATTTCAACCTGAAGAAGTGAAATTTAAAAAAAAAAACTGAAAACATGAAAAAAGCGCCTCAAAGCCCTAGAAAACGTCTAAGTGATCCCTAGAGGGTTTTGTTCTTTCAGTGTTGAAGGTTGAACATTTTTTTGAAAACTGTAGTGGACCAGAAAGAGCCTAGCAAGGACCAGGGAACGTTTGAGTGGTCCCTAAATGGTTTCGATCTTTCAGTGGTCACTTAAGCGTGTTTAATGTTTGAACTTTCCTTAAAATTTCTTCGAAAACTGTAATGGACCAGAAAGAGCCTAGCAAGGACCAGGGAACGTTTGAGTGGTCCCTAGAGAGATTCGATCTTTCAGTGGTCACTCAAGAGTTTCATTAAAATGTTTGAACTTCATACTTTTTTAAAACTGTATCGGACCAGAAAAAAACAAAAAATCCTAGAAAACACCAAAGAAAAGTTTGAGTGATCCCTCGAGGGTCCCGAGCTTTCAGTGGTTATTTGAGCGTTTCAGTCCATTAAACAAGGAAAATTAGAAGAAAAACTGCTTATAACTTGCTGAAAAATCCCTCAAGGGTCAACTTGAAGCATTTGGAGAAATCATTCCAGAATTTGACTGGGGAATTTCGAGTTTTCAGTCGAATCTTAAGATCAAGTAGCCTCTATATTCTCAGGCACTTCTCTAATGGCTCAAATCACTTAAGAGGCCACTAAATGGTCAGAAACCTTCAAAAAATTCTCAAAATTCCCTGAAACGCTAGGCCGTTGGTCTCGAAGCGAAAGTACTATTTTCCTCAAGCGCTGATGAATTTTTGATCCCAGTTCAGAAAACCTTAGCTCCGCCGTCCACCGACTTCTGGACGTACTCGACAAGCTTCAGAAGATGAGCCTTGTGGTTCTGGGGTCCATGGGCGGTGGATCTGTCCAAAGGATCGCCAATCGTGTACTTCTTGGTCTCCTCGACGAGCTTCTTCACGAAGTCGTCGTGGATGCTCTTGGCGATGAAGACACGTCCGGCGGCGATGCAGTTCTCGCCCTTGTTGAAGAAGACGGCGCCGCACGCCTGCTTGACGGCCTTCTCGAGGTCGGCGTCGGCGAAGATGATCAACGGCGACTTGCCGCCGAGTTCGAGGGAGACCTTCTTGACGTTCGACTTGGCGCAGCTGGAATTTTGAAAATTGGTCTTTTTTTGGAGGGGTCTTCCTTACCTCGCCATGACGGTGGCGCCGACTTCGGTAGACCCAGTAAAACCGATTTTACGGACGTGGGGGTGATTGGTCAGGGCATCTCCGATGACTCCTTCAAAGGGGGATTTTGAACAAATGTCGAGACGAAAAGTGATGAAAAAATTCAAAGGGGTGTGGAAAAATGACACATAAAATGGTTAAAAAAAAGGGAAAAGGTTCCTCGAAAAGCTCCTTAAATGTTATGAAAAGGCTTTTGAGCTCCTTTTTTATAGCCTAAGCAAATCCTTTTTGGATATTATCGAATTTTTTTTGTTGAAGGATGTGTAAAAATGTAAAAATGAGAGAAAAAGACCTGCTGGAGACCCTCAAAAGGTCTTCTTTTTTTTTAGAAAGCTCGAGGATGAGCTCAATCATAGAAACTGAAATTTTCGGATTTCGAGAGCCCGTAACTTTGTTCACACACCTCGAGGGCCGTTTTTGAGACCAGATTTGGAATCAACATGAAAAACTACATCTAGTGAACCTAGTCTCATTCAGAAGTCCCATTGCGGATTTCCAACTTTCGAAAACACCTTCCAATCTTCAAAGTTTCATTTGGGACATCCTCCATAAAAATCAACCATTTTTGCAAAAAGTCAAAGGTTAGTTCTTTAGGCAACGGTACGAAAACTCTTTTCCCTTCAGTTCCCACTAAATTATCTGAGTTTTCCCTATCTGACAACAAAAAAGGTACCTCCAGAACCGGTGACGATATTAATAACGCCAGGCGGGAAGCCAGCCAGAGCCGCCAGTTCGGCAAACTTCAGGGCGGTGAGTGGCGTGACCTGAGCCGGCTTGTGGACGACCGTGTTTCCGGCGGCCAGACAGGCGGCCATTTTCCACGAGAGCATCATCAGCGGATAGTTCCAAGGAGTGATCAATCCGACGACTCCGACAGGTTCGCGTAATGTCAAGCAGAGGTTTCGGTTGGGTCTGGCGTGTGAGATTGGGATTGTTTTTCCCTGGAAATTTCGAGAGTTCATCATGATTTCGTTATTGGAATACCTGAATCTTGTCGCACCAGCCAGCAAAGTATCTCCACACGTCGATGGACATACCGACATGGGTCTTGATGGCCAAAGTGTAGACGGCACCGGCATCAAGTGACTCTAAGGTCGCCAGTTCTTCCTAGAAGTTTTTTCCGTTAAATTTCCCTTTTTGTAACAGTTTAGGTACGGTAGAGCGAGGGTACTGTTGTATACGTACAAAAATCTTTTTTCAAAAGTTAGCTTGCCGAAAAAAAAACTATTTGAACCATTTTTGGAACCAAGGAACGTTAATTTTAGTGGATTTTCTGATCCTTCCTCGGCGCTTTTTTAAGCGAGAATGAAAAATTATTTTTCTTCCAACCGATGGAAATTTTTCCCTTTTTTAGATTTCCCCCTGAATCTCCAACCTTATGCTGCTCCATCAAGTCAGCCAACTTATAAAGGAGCTTTCCTCGATCCCTGGCGTTCATTTGCTTCCACTCTCCGTTTTCGAAAGCCTAAATTGAAACTTTAAAAAGGCTCAGAAGTTCCTGGAAACCTTCTTGGCAGCTCTAACAGCCAGGTTGATATCTTCCTTGGCGGCGACCGGAATTGTGCAAATCGGTTTTTCCGTTGCCGGATTGATTGTTTCATAGGTTCTGAGTGGAGAAAAAATTTGGGAAAATTATAGAATTTTTTCGGGACTTTTGAAGATATTTTGAAAAGAAGAGTTCAAAAAAACTGTTCTCACAGCTCTTGAAAACATTTTTTGAAGAATTTTATTTTTTAAAAGGCTTCTGAACTTTTTCCATGTGTAAACCGCTCCACAAGTCTTGAAACAGTCTTATTTCTCTGCGCTCTCTCGTTTTAACCTGCTGTTTTCATTTGCTATAACTAGAAAAAAAAAATCTCATAACTTGAACCAGTCTCATTTTTCTGCGCTCTCTCGTCTTTACGTGATCTATTCCCGCTTCTATGACCTAGCCGGCGAGGGAAAAGAGAGCGCAGACAGGTCAGACAGTTTTTTAGACCATTTTTTTCATGGCTTTTTGGATAGATTTCGAAAAGAAGAACCCAAAAATTGTCCTTTATGTGGAAAAAAGGTTAAAAAATAGAGTTTTGCCACTTCGTTCATCTATAAAACTACTCTCTACAACTATAAACAGTCTGATTTCTCAGCGCTCTCTCGTCTTTACATGCTGCATTCTTGTTTCTATTACCTAGGCGGCGAGGGAAAAGAGGGCGCAGACAGGTCAGACTGGTTTAAAGCAGTTTTTGGTGCACTATACCATCTAAAGTCGAGGCAAGCTAATATGTTTCCTTTCTGACTATTTCTAGCGGCCGCTTTAGGGGTGTCAGCACTCTTAAGTGACCCCTTGAGCTGCTGAGACACGATTTTTGCGAATTTGGATAAAAGTTAGTTCAAAATCATCAGAACGGTTAGCCAAAGGGGACACAAAAATAATGAATAATTGACATTTTTCTCACTTTCCACTCAACGCCGGGACGAATTTTCCGTTGATGAACATCTCGTGAGGGAACTTGAGCTTCATGTTATTAACGTCAAGCTCGACAGGGTCATAAGTCACACTGACGGCGTCTTCTCCGCGGTTCTTCCTCACCACCAAAGTGACGTTGTCGCCGAGGGTCGGGGCCATATACACCTAAAGTGACCAGTCTCCCAGGGCACTTAAGAGGTCATTACGAACATCGCTGGCTTCCAATTCGACTCCCGTGTGGAACTTGATCTCCTCAATTAGCCGAGTGACGTCAGCAGAAGAGGCTCCGGCCGAGAAGAAGTCCGTTTCGTCGCGGACGCTGCTCTTCAGGATTCCGGTCCAGATTTTCTGGAAATTATTTTGGAACATGCTTCTGATTGACTGCCCACGCCTTCTTAGGGTAGAAATGAGCTCGAAAGTTGAAAAAAAGGTTCCAGAACTAGAGAAAGAATTATCTCAAGAAACCTTAAGAAAAAAACCTTAACTTTAAAGACATTTTTTAAACCCAAAAAATCATATCTTTGGCTGTAGGTGTCCTAAATACATGCTTCAGGTACCGAAAATTTCTTTTGAATGTCCAATCTCAAGCTTCGCCCCCTATTAGCGCGATGAACCAATCAGAGAGCGAGGCATCTACAGAGCGTTTTCGAATGACGTCATGGTACTTGACATTGGTCTCTTTAGGGGTTAGGGGGGAAAACAACCTCTATAGGAGTCAAAAAAGTGGTCCCCATAGGGGTCGAATTAAAGTGGACCCTATAGGGGTCTGACTTAGCCCTAAAGCCCAAGCGGACCCTATAGGGGCCTTTCAATTTCATTCAAAAACGCTTATTTATTCAGTTTTTCCATGAAGAAGCTTCATTGCGTAGAGTTCATAACAAATATCGACATGTCCCCTATAGGGACCACTTGGGCAAGCTTTAGTAGTCCTACGGGGGACCCTCCAAGGGCCCATATAATTGCCCCTTTAGGGACCACTCTGAAGCCCCTGTGGCCGGAGAAATAGTGTGCAAAAAGTGGAGGTCCAGACATTTCCATGCTTTTACCTTGACTTTTTCGACAAGAGCCTTCTCCTCCTCAGTCAGAACCAGCTCTTCAGTCGCTTCCGAAGCCTGGCCGTACTTCTTGGCCGGAATCGTCTTGGTGCCGACTTTGATCGAATCCACGATCACCTAGAAACTTCCCATCTCGAAAAACTCCAAGGAAAATTTCAGAGTACAAATTTGCCATCGCTGCCGGGAAGAAGAAGGCCCCGATCATCGACGAAGACCTTGCCGCCTGGGACTTCGGCCACAGCGACCTCCAGAGCGTCTTCCGGCGGGGAGCCCTGTTTCCACAGCTTGGATCCGTAGAAGAAGACTTTCTCGCCGTTGAGGATGGCCCAGGCGCCGGGGACCTAGGATGAAACAAGTAGAATGGAACGAGGAGCTCCAGAAGATGCCTTGTCGTTGCCGCGGATGAAGTTGTGCAGCTGGCGCTGGGTCAGCTTCCAGTTGATCTGTGCGAGTTCCGGCTTGGTGGTGATGTACGGGTCGTAGCTGGCGCCTTCTTCCGGCTGGACGATTCTCGGCGCTTTTCCGGCAGCAATCAGTTCAACGGCTTCCGTCTGAGGAGAATGGATAAAACATATTACAATCAAGACAAGGGAGGTCATTTACTTTGCGGTTGGGAACTTTCTGAAAATTTGTCAGAAAATCCCCTGAATTACCGAATTAGGGTCGCGAAAGTCCCAATCTGCACAACTCGCTAGTTTTTCAGAAATAAGAGCTCAAAGCGCCAAAAACGGCCATTTGACCGATTTTGAAGGTTTTCAGAATTTTTTTTTCGGAACTCAGAGGGGTGTTCTGATCAATTTCCAGTTAATTCCCAACCGCAAAGTTAATCGACCTTCCTTTTGAGTTAAGATACGAAAAAAATGATGAGAATTCGTGAATTCTTGTCTTGAAAGCCCGATTTTGAAGAAAATTTTGAGAAGAGCCCAAAAAAAATTATCAAATGAAACATCCAAATTATCAGACTTTTCCGGGATTTTTAAAAGCCTGTTCTGGTAATATCAACCTTTTTCTACAAAATTTGGCTATCTGGAAGATCAAAAAGCTGGAAATGTCTACAACACGTATCAAATTAGGAAATTATGCCTCAAATTTCAGTTTTTGAGAGCTAGTTATAGATGATTATTTTCAAATCTCATCTGGACAACATCCCCGACAATGAATTATTCATCAGCATCCCTAGACGGCTACTATGATCTCAAAAAAATCTCAATATGCATATACGTGTATTTTATCAACTGTGATATCTATTGTATTCCCTATCCGGTGAAGTCACTCGTGAGGGTGACCTAAAACCGGTTCTTAACCTTATTTATTCTTTTCACTTTGTGGATGAGTAAATTATTATTATTAATCCAATATTCAAAAAAAGGGCTTTTTTTCATCAAATATCAATTTTACATTGAAAATAAAGAGATTTATAGTAATGAAGACGAGGATTTCAAAAAAATGTGGACTTTTTATAGTCTGTTCAGATTTTGAATGTCAAGTCGCCGCTCAAGCCCCGCCCCTAATGGCGCGAATCAGAGAGCGAGCCATCCACAGAGCATTTTCGAATGACGTCATTCTACTTGAAATTCAAAATCTGAACAGACTATAAGTTCATAATGAAATAATGGGAGGAAAGTGGCTAATCAGAAACAATAAAAAATCGAACCATGGCGGCGACTCCAGCCGGATACAAGAACCGCTTGTAGAGCGTGTTCAGCGTATCATTTTCTTCAACTTTCGTCTTCTTTTGGAGCAAAATCGGTCCGGTGTCGAGTCCATCGTCGGCCCAGAAAATACTGAGGCCGGCCTCCTCATCTCCGTCGATCAAGGTCCAGTTGATCGCCGACGCTCCTCTGAATATTATCCTAATTTTTGACTTTTAAGGAACAGCTCAGGCTCAGGAAAGGTCGCAAAAGAAAGAAGGAAAATCGATAAAAAGCTGCAAAAAAGTTCTTTTCAACTAACCTGTTTTCTAGATAACTATAGGCTCAAAAAAAAGACAGCTACAGGGGGAAGGATACACATAGGCAAAGTCGGAAAAGTTGAAAAAAGGTTCCATAGAAATGTTCCTGTTTTGCTGCCTTTTTGCACCATTTCATCGGCTTTTATGCACCATTTTTGTTGCCTCTCCCTTTTGCCACCATTTCTTGAAGCCTAGAAAAATGGAAGGCTCTCTAAAGGGACTCTTTTTGCTCCCTTTTTGCGACCTTTTTTGAGACTCTCCGAGCTTTGTCCGATCATAAAATATGGCGCAATAAGTAAACCTTTTTCAACCTTTTTTAAAACGTATGAGTTCTAATTCTTCCTTTGCGACTAATGAGAATCGTATTACAATTAATTAATCGATAAATGACATGAGCAAGAAAGTTTGTTTTTTCTTTTGAAACCTGTGTTTGGGCAGGATACTCGGATGGTAGATGATACTCTTGTGTTCGGGGGCTTCCGTGATTTCCAGAGGGATGAATTGCGTGCAAAATGGCAGGACATTAAGTTCAGCACCGAAAGATTTGTACAGTTCGAGCATTTCGGGAAGCGTCTGAATATTGTGTTTTTTCGATAATTTTCAACTTTCTCGATAAATTTTCTAGGGAAAAAATGGGCATTCTATTAAGTGTTTATCAAATGCGCATCATCAGCAAATTATAAAAGATGAGCGTTTTTTTTTTGAATTTTAGTTATTAATTTTCAATGGAGAACAAAAAAAAACAGTCACATTTTGTAAACGCCCAAACTTTATATACTTTAGCATGCCGAAAAATAACATTAAAAAGCTTCTAAAATCAAAAATTTTCCATTTTCCCTGTCTATATTCACCTCGAAATTCCCATCGGCGTTCTTTTTCCGCCACCTCGCTGGTTTCTGAACGGGGACCCCATCTTTGGCCGCCTCGATGGCTAAATTTCGAATAAATGAACCGGTTTTCCAAAAATGTCATCAATTTTTTTTTGTTTGCAACCCAAAACCGTAGTTCAGAAATCAACCTAAAAGATCTTCACGGCCGTTTTTGTCGGGAATCGTGAATACGACGACGATTTCGTGGCCATTCTTGCGCAATTCCTTGTAGACGTCGACCCCGAAGGCCGACTGGCCGATTATCGCAATCTTCATCTTCCCCTAAGCTTTTAACTGAGTTCTACGGAATGTTGATGATCTAAAAAAAGGAAAAATAACGAGGAACAGCTGGGGAAACAACGAAAAACTGGCAAAAATTAGGAATATTATTTATTTTTCTCAGATTTTTTGGGAAATCCCCTTGTGGGAAAAATTCAAAACAACCTTCATTCACAACTTAAAAAAATGGATTCGCTTTGGATCTACCTCTTTAAAAAGGAAATATCAGATAAAAAAATCAATGAGATGTCTCTTTTTTTGCGAGCCTTTCAGGAACACTTTTTAAAAAAACATGAAAATGAAGATAGTAAAAAAATAGAAATGATTCGGATAAAAAAATACCAAATTAAAGCCTACTGAAAAAATTTGAAAAATTCGAAGCTTACGTCTTTTTTCTCAAATTGAAACGCATGATTCGGAAACTCGATGATCCTTTACACTGTTTAACAAACCTTTTTTTCAATTCAAGAAAAAAAAAAGAAATCGAAGATTATCCCTAGCTGCTGACAAAAACTTATCAAAAACGTTAAATATCTCTTCTTTAGCTATATTTTTCGCTAAGCTTCTGAAAATATCTCAAGCCAGCGATGAATATATCCGAGACAAGGAACTAAATATTCAAAAGAGGACGAAAATCACGAGGAGGGTGGAATGAGAACGTGTACAAAGCGACCAATCCGCACAAAAATGAGAGAACTGGGACAAAGAGACGGCCGGCTATCTATTTTCGACGCATCTGCATGTTGACCACGCGTTGAAACAGTACGAAGCCTGCTGCTGATAACGGCATGGAACTCGGTTTTCAGTCTTGAGTGTTCGATTCAACGGAAAAACATAGCTGAGCATACTAAAACCAAACAAAAAATTAGCCGCTAAAATTTAAAAGGTACCGAGAGAAATCCTGTCAAAAATTTGGGCTTAAAAAATACTTTTTACCTGACTTTTCTTCAAAAAAGAATTTCCTTGAAAATGTCGTACTCATAAAACAAAAACAAAGGCAGTTTTCAAACTTTTCCATGGATTTCATGGATGAGGAGGATTCATTCCTACATTCTATAATAAAACGAAGATTCAGTATACACATAAAAAAATGAATTATAAATAATAAAGAATAAAAAAATTATTGTAAAATGCGAAAAAAATACTATTATTGCGACTTCTTTGCGCTAATGCACATTTTAAACCACTTAAGGGCACTTCTAAATTAATTAGTTTTTTCATTTAGAATTTCATTTTTTTCATAATGTATGGTAATTTCGCTCGATGGTTATCAAATATTGAGAATGAAAAAAAGAAATAAAATTCTAAAAATTTCAAAAAAAGGTAAAAAGCGGATTATGACTATTTCTATCAGATTTTTCTTGCCCGTAACTATGGATACGCCGCCGGAAAATTTTTTTTCTCAATTTTGATATAAATTTAATAATTGCAACTGGTAATACAATAGGAAAACTGAAAAATTCAACAAATTTTTTTCTCCATAAATATCCTTTGTTTACCTTTGAAAATCCATTTGTGAATTGCTCTCGGTGAAAACATTCATTTATTAAACACAACCGTGGAATGGGTATAAAACCGAGGGGGATCTACAGCACAAAATGCAAAGTTACTAAAAACTACTGTGCTACGGGACAAATATTCAAACAAAGTTCTCGACAGCCTTGATGATGTGTTTGGCGGAGATGCCGTAGAGATCGAGAAGCTCCTCGGGTGGGCCGGATCTTGGGACGGCGTGCACGGCGAGGGAGCGGACTCTGACGTTGGCCAGGTCACCGAGGGCGGCAGCGACCTGGAAATCATTTTTTGAAACAGTTTCAGGCAATTTTTTTAGCGTAATTTCAAGTAAACTTACTGAATTTTCAATAAAATGATTGTTCATTGAAAAAAATATTTACTAAGAAATGCCAGGGTGGCCCCTAGAGGGGTTAGTGGGCTTAGGGGTCTGACCTCGAGGTCTAAAGCTTAAGTGGTCCCTAAAGAGGTTTTCTAATTTTTCCTTTTCAGACTTCAAAATCAAAAAGGCTTATTTAATGATCGAATTATCTGCTGTGGACTTTTTTCATTCAAAAAACGCTAATTCATTGACTTTTTCACAGCGTTCATAACAATGAACAACTAACTTGCCCCCCTAGAGTGGCCACTTTGCAAGCTTCAGCGCGCCTAGAGCCCCTTAAAAGGCCACTCTGGCTTTCCTGAGGATATCACATTCTAGTAAGAATGGCTACGTTTCTCATTTATTGACTTTTTCGTATAGAAAATACTTCTTTTCATAGCGTTCCTGAGAATAAAGAAATAGCTTGATCCCTAGAGTGGCCACTTTTGCAAGCTTCAGTGCTCCCTAGAGGGGAACCTTCAAATGCCCCTTTAGTGGCCACTCTTTCCTAATTATATCACTTTCTAGTGAAAACGGCTACGTTTCTTCTTCGTATAGTAAATACTTCTTTTTCATAGCGTTCCTGATAATAAAAAACTAGCCTGCTTCCCTAGAATGGCCACTTTTGCAAGCTTCAGCGTCCTCTAGAGGGAAACCTACAAGAGCCCCTTTAGTGGCCACTCTTTCCTAAGTATATCCCTTTCTCAATTAAAAAAAACGGACAGCTTCTCCAATGCCTCCAGCCGGGTAGTGGTCCTCGATGGTCAGGACACGGCCTCCAACCCTTTGAGCGTGAGCCGCAATGGTTTTAACATCCAAGGGCTTGATGGTGAACGGATCGATAACAGCCGCGTGGACACCTGAAAACGACTTGATAGACCATTTTTCGATTCGAATCTCCTGCCTTTCTTCTCGAGCTCCTCGGCGGCCTTCAGAGCCTCATAGAGGGTCACGCCGGCGCCGATGAACAGAATGCTGTCCTTTGGCGACTCTTTCAGAACCTCAAAAGTCATATTTTATGCCTCATTATTTTCCCTTTTTTCAAACCTTGGCCTGCCCAACCATGAAAGGTTCATCGTTCTTGTAAAGAACTGGCAGAGCCGGCCTTCCAGTGCGGATGAAGACGATTCCGTTGATGTTGGCGGCCAGTTCGGTGGCTCTCTCGGCGGAAACTCCGTCGGTTGGGTAGAAGACGGTCGAGTCGGGAATCGCGCGGAAAATGGCGAGGTCCTGGAAAATCGGAGATTAATAATCACTTTGCTCAATATTTTACCTCAAGAGCCATCTGGCTAGGGCCATCCTCTCCGATGGAAACTCCGACGTGAGATCCGACACATTTCAGGTTGGCGAAAGAAACGGCAGCCATGCGGATTTGGTCAGTGGCGCGGGTGAAGAAGGCGGCGAAGGTGCTGAGAAAAAAGAACATGGATTTTTGTAATTTTTTCTGAAGTTTGACTTTTTCAAGGTCTTCCTTGAGGAAAGCTTCAATTTCAAGGCTAGACTCTCAAAAATCTATCAAAATCTTCTAAAAATAACTAAAACTCGAAACATAGTAAACATAGTAGAGTTTACAGGGAACTAGGCTGATTTCGGCCTTTTTTGAAATTGCCGAATATCTTTATACTTCATATCTTGGGCCTAACTAGAAGACTTCAATATCATGGCTAGCTTTCTACTACCTGTATCAAAATCCTCCGAAAAAAAAAACAATAAATTTCATACCTATTGAATAAAGTAGTTTCTCCACGACAACAGGCTAATTTCGGCTCTTTTTTTCACAAATAACCTAACCTTTTTTGGGTTTATACTAAAGGCCTAGCTAGAACGATTCATGCTCCAATTTCAAGGCTAGATTTCTACAAAAGCTATTGAATTCCTCAGAAAATAACCAAAAATTCGATTCCTAGTCAACGGAGTAATTCTTCCATGGCACTGGGCTGATTTTTTTTTTTATCTCTTTTTTCCAAACAACCTAACACTTTCCCTTTCTAAGTTCGACCTAACTATGAAGCTACAGGCTTTTTTCAAGGTTAGACTTCGAGAAAAGTTTCAATTCCAAGGCTAGGTCTCTGAAAAGTCTGTCAAAATCCTCTGAAAAGAGCTACAAATAGACACCTAGTGAAGGGAATGGTTCTTCCACGGCATTGAGCTCCGACGGCCACTCCAACCAGGTTCTGCTCGGCGATGAAGCATTCGATGAACTGTTCGGGGTGGGCCTTAACATAATTCTCATAGCATTCCTTAGAAATACTTCAAGAAAATACCTTAAGAAGCTTCTCAGAATAGGTCGAGTTCTTGGTATCGCCGTCAAGGCCGATAACTCTCGGGGAGGCGTCTCCGAGTTTCGCCAAGGCAGTTCCGTAGGCGGCGCGAGTGGCGACCTGAATTCAAAAAATTATTGGTCGAAGAAAAATCTGGGAAAACCTTCTCTCCGAGCTTGTACTCTGGAGCGGCCATCTTGATATTTCCAATGCAAAGGTCGACTTTTGGGGCATCGTCAACCGGCTTTTTGGCGACCAATTTTCCCTTCTCACTGCCATGGAATCTGGACCGGATGGCTCCGATCTGAATTTATGGGACTTGAATTGAATGAAATCAAAAAAAAATTCATCATAGGTCTTGGCTTGAAAAAATAGAAAAAAAAGGTTATTGGAAAGATTGGGGTGCCTCCTAGGAGCAAAAACTATAACAGTCGAACCAGAATGAACTTTTTACACTTTCAATTATACTCTCGAAAAATCCTAATAAAAAGGTTTTTGTGTTATTTTTCTATTTCGTTTTGAAGGTTTTTATAAAAGGCCTGAATTTTGCAAAATATGAGCAAAATATGTTTCCTTATATAACTGGCTTGAGCCATCAAAAAGGATTCTGAAACGAAAAAAAAATATAGTTCATGATTTTTGGAGAGCGCAGGGGGGCCACGCCCCTTAGCATCCCGAGCTAGCTGAATATCTCAAACCTTCTCCTCAGAAACCGGCTTTCCATGCCAGTTATCCAAATCTTCGACATCGGCGATGCCACGGCCCTTGTGCGTTCTCGCGAGGATCGCGGTAGGCTTTCCTTGGGTGTTCTTGGCCTCGGCGTACGCCTTGAGCAACTCGTCGATTGAATGGCCATCGACGATGATGGCGTGGAATCCGAAGGCCGCGAATCGCGCCTGAACAAGATGAATTTCCAGAGAAATGAATGCTACGAGGTGAAAATCCTTGGGACATTTCCCGTGATCTCTCAGAGCCTTAAAGTAAAGTTCCTGAGCTTAAATCAGTGTTACGAAATTCATTCAGAACTGAAAAATTAAAATCTTTCATTCTTCGAAATATCATAGACCTTACAGATCTAGAATCCTGAAATTTTCTGTAGATATCGACCAAATTTTGGATTATAGCTTGGCGATCAAAATATAGTCTGCCCAGTTTTTAAAAGTCAAGTAGTCGTTCAAGCTCCGCCCCCACAATGAACCAATCAGAGAGTGAGCGATATACATAGCTTATGCGAATGACGTCATTTTACTGCATTGTGAGCAGACTACATGATGAAAAAACGTCCAAAATCATTTTTCCTATCGAAGCGCTACATGTCCAAGCCAATCTTTAAAGGATCAGTCAGCTCTCGAAAAAAAAGGGTCTTGACTGGATTAGACAAAAAAAAAGTTGATGGTAGAGATTGAGATTATCATTTTCGTGACTTTGTCATTGATAACAGGAATCGGTCGTTTCGGGACATTTTAGTGACCCCTTTGGGGGCGTCAGTACTCTTAAGTGACCCCTAGAGCTGATGAGACACGACTTTACCCAGGTACGCTAGAAATTCGTTGAAACTTGTCAAAATATTTTTTTGGAAGCAAAAAAAAAATAATATTTGACTTTATCTGACTTTCAGCCCTCTTAAGTGATCTCTAGCTCAGAAACGTCAGGATATTGTTACCCAAGTCCGAATACGCTAATTATGATATCACGATCTTTCAAATCAAAGCAAAAAATCCTCCAGACCTTGTAGGTCTCCAAATCGTGTCCCAACGCGGTGGCTTGGGACTGTCCGAGGCGGTTGACGTCGACGATGGCGACGAGGTTGTCGAGTTTGTAGTGAGAGGCGAAGGCGGCGGCCTCCCAGACGGACCCTTCGGCGGATTCGCCGTCGCCGAGAAGGCAGTAGACGCGGTAGCTGGCCTTGTCGATGTACTTGCCGACGTAGGCCATGCCGGCGGCCGCCGAGAGACCCTGGCCGAGGGATCCGGTCGCCACGTCGATGAAGTTGAGTCTCTTAATGGCGAAATTGGTTAAAATCCGTTATTTCTCGATTTACAGGTGTTGGATGACCCTCGATGTCGGAGTCGATCCGTCGGAGAGTCAGGACTTGGTCGTGGCTCAGGAGACCCGCCTCTTCCCAGGCCGCGTAGAGGATCGGGCAGGCGTGTCCCTAAATTTTGAAAAAGTGAACAAAATATTTTTGAACCTTCATAAGCCTTTCTTGTTCAAAATTTGTTCAAAGACGCAAACCTATTCCAACAATTCAATTTTTATCCAATTTCCCCGGTTTTTTTCTCTATGAAGCTTCAAAAGTTGAACCAAGTCCGTCATATTTTGATGAATCGATAATTTTAATGTTTAGTTTCAAGGTTTTCATACAGTTATTTGAAATTGAATTCCTTCAAGAAAAGCTGGAAAAAATGAAATAGCTTCTTATTTTTCAAGTTTGGATCTTTGTACCAAAGCACTGCAGTGGGCTGTGACAGAAAATTTGAGGATGTTATTCGGGAATTTTCTGTCTTTTTAAAGTCCCCAACGACTTTCAATGAATCAAAATTTTGAATATTAGTTTCAAGCTTTCTACAGTTTCTTATGAATGATTGGCACTTTGCCTTATTTTTTTAAAAAAAGCTCGAAAAAAATTGAAATAGATTTTTCTTTTTAACGGTTGTAGCAAAGAACTACAGTGGACTTTGCCAGAAAATTTGGGGCTGATTTTTCGAAAAATTTACTGTCTTTTTTTCCAGTCCGTAACAATTTTTTTAATCAATCAAAGTTTTTCAATTTCAAATCCAAGGATTTCCGCAATATCTTATGAAGGATTGGTACTTTGCTTTATTTCTACAAGAAAAAGCTCGAAAAAAAGAAGAGGAAAAACTTGAAATTTTTCTTTTTATTTTTTTATTCGAATTTGATCTTAAATCCTGCTGTGATAGCAATTTTATGATTTCCGAGATTTTTCTCTCATTTCCAAGTTCTTGACCCTCCAGAATCACCTTGGAAAGAATGAAACGATCCGCACTGGCGTTCTTCGGATCGTGAGCGTCATAACGCATCTCATTGAAGAAAAGCGTGGAAACGATCTCAGCTATAAGTCATCGTATTAAAATTCAAGAGTAGATGATTTGAAGCAAACCGGCGGAGGCAGAAGACGTCGGATGGCCGGATTTCGAGGCGCACGTCATCTCGATGGCCGAAATTCGCATGCGGTTGGCCGCATCCTCGAGATCGTGGCGCAGTTGCTCGGAGCCGGTCATTCTTCAGAAAATATTGAACCATTTCAAGAATTTTCAGCTTTTCAAGTACACTGATATCGAGTTCTCATGATCAAAATGAAGAAAATCGCTTTTAGAATAATAATCGATCTAGTGTCGAAAATGACAACGAAATGAATCTGTTTATAGATTTTTCTAGAAAAATCGGTTAAAAATCCTCTCTGTACTTAAAAGCAGAAAAAATTCATACGCATTTCAAAACGAAGAGTCGTTTCAAGCGACTTTTCAAGAACCTTGTCAAAAAAAAACTGAGCCAAAATTACCGATACAAAAAGCCTGAAAAGAGAACATCGAGAAAATTTCACTTTTAAAAGGGCCCCCACACCAAACACAACACATTTGGGGAACAGGAAATCGTGTCTAATGGATGTTGAATAGTTGTTTTTCAAAACACAACGAAAAACAGGCTCCGCCGAATTAGATGACACAACTATTCTACTCTTCTAGAACGACATGTCAAACAAGGATTGTGTGCCGAAAAGTAAGCAAACTTAGTTCGAAGTGATTTCGCGAACAGTGCAGTTTGCGATGGCGTGATGATAAAAGGCAGTCGGCGCGACAAGCGAAATGACCACTTTGCAAGGGGAAACAAGCCATTCATTCACAGGGGCTGGGCTCAATCATCCCATTATATTCAATGAAAATCGTCGTGAAATGGAAAAAGTTCGAGAAAGGTTGAGTGGATTACTGGGTGCTTTTTACAGAAGTGCTCAGAGATTCTTTAGCAAGAGCTAATTATTATTGAGAACGATCCGAAAGTTCTTTCAAATAAAATAAAATAGATGGTGTCTGCGAAAGTCTTTGCTGCGGAATTTAAAGAGTACGAATGAATCCGAGAGCAGACTTCAGCCTTTTTTAAGCCAACAAAGAGTTTTGCGCTTCTAAAAACCAAGCGAATATTTTTTTAAGAGACTCTTGAAAGAAGAAAAGAAGGAGAAGTCATGCAAACGCGCCAAAAAAAGATCAAAAATAACACTTTTTCGAAAATTTTGAATCTTGAAAGGCGCGTTGCGACACGTGCGCAGCCCTTTTCTCTTCTCTATAGAGCGTAGAGCCTTTCACAGTAAACAAGGCGAGTGCTAAAAATAGATCATTCACTGAAAATTTCAAAAAGATTGGATTTCAAGAATTTTCAGGTAAAATTTTTATTTTTCTGCTTAAGCCCTAGAAGAACCTCCTGTACTGAAACCTCCTAACACTCCCACATAATGATGAGATTAAAAAGCCTAATTTCCTTCTGAAAATTGAAATAATTCTCATGAAAAGCTCATCAAGTGGTTTCCTTTTCAAGCATATTTCTACCTCTTGAGATTGACTCCTATTGATGGTAGAGAAATTGGAGATATATTCGAAAGCAAATAATGTTTAGAAAGACTCGAAAACTATTAAAATAACAGAAAATAAACAATGAAATTTTTGAAATGATCCAAAATACAACTTGCGCAAGCTTGCGCGTAGAATTTTGGGTTTCATGTGTTTTTTCTGTAGTTCGGTTAATGCACAAAATACACGGCTTACGCGCAAAATAATGTTTAAGGCCCTTAAGTGGTTACTTGATTGTCAATGTTGTCCTCACGTTTTTTGTTTTATTTTGCTTTTTAAAGTTTCTTTTACCATATTATGAATATATATTCGAACATATTGAATCTATTATTCACCAAAGATTTTTTTAGGCCTAAATGTCAGATAACGCTGACGATTCAACAGACGAGGAAGGGAACAACGATGATGTGAGGGCATTGGTCAATTTCTTATTCGAAGGTGAATCCTCGCCAGGTAATAAGTTTGATTTTTTTCAAATGCAGAGTAAGAAGTTTTCTCTGAAGTTTCGAAAATAATTCATGATGGGTTTTTAGAGCCGAGCGGATATGAGATGGAATCGCAATCTGAGGCTCAAGGTCCACCAGAAGATTTTGATATATCGGTGAAATAAGTTAAATTTTTAGAAACTGGTGGTTTTTCCAGAATCCATCCTCTCACGGCTATATTTTCAATGAATCCAATGAGCCAGTGGAAGTCACGAATTTCGAAATGCTGGCTCCGAATTGCAGTCATTTTTTGCCAGTTCTTGAAATCGATCATGTCCTTTTTCCAGGTGATATTTAACTTTTTTTATTCAGCTGTAAGTTTTCCAGGCCAATCAATACCTTTACGAGGCAATGACTTCATAAAGAAGATTCTCAATTTTCCGGCCGCCGTTTTGATTTATCAAGATTCGTCGGAAACTCCTTTGATTGGAGTTACGGCGAGGGTAGGGACAGATTTAGAGGTGAAAAATTAAGAAAGTTTTTTTAAGGTAAGGCGATATTCTTCGCAGGATGGGCTGGTACAAGTGGAACTTGTTGCGATGCAACGCTGTCGAGTTTTACAAATCGATAAGGCGGTTTTGTTAGTGGATTTTATCATAGTTTTCAAATATTTTTTTCTGATCTCTTTGATTTAATTTTTTTTTTATTCATGGCTACATAGGCGAAGTCGGAAAGGATGGAAAAAGGCTCCATAGAAATGTTCCTTTTTTGCTGCCTTTTTGCGCCATTTCAATTGCTTTTATACACCATTTTTGCTTCCTCTCCCTTTTCCACCATTTCTTGAGCTTTAAACTCTTTGAAAAAAAAAATTTAAGGGACTCTTTTTGCTACCTTTCTGTGGCCTTTTTGAGCCTCTCCCTTTTAGCGGCCAGTATCCACCATTCCGAGGGTAATTCTAGGTCACCCAAAATTTATTTTCTTCAAAATACCCATCCTTAACAAACTAAATGTGAATCTTCATGAAATTTTATTTCATTCCAAATATTTCAGTAGTGAGCCCCAAATGGCCCGTCTGACGATCCTTCCCGAGTATATGCTCGACAATCTTTCTTTAAGCGTTCTACCCAACAGTTTTCGTCGTTTTTCTTTGAGAAAGGTTTTGAAAAATTCTTTTTACCTCTAAAAAATTATTTTCCAGCGCAATCGTCTTGTTACCTTTTTGACGAATTTCCCGGAAAGCACGTTGAAATTTGAAGGATTGGTTTGTGGTTTTCATTTTGAAGTTTGGTTTTGAAGTTCATGATCATTAGAAATGATTTTTGAAGTTTATTGAATGTCAAAAAGTTTGAAAAATTAACACGCTGTCTCTGTAATTTTCAAAAAGTCTCAAAAGCGACGGGAACAGAAAAAGTTTTTATTTTTTCATTTGTGTGATGATAATCCATCATCAGAAATGTGGTCGCAACTTTTTGAGCCATTTCCTCTTACTGTAGCCGGGTTACGGTAGGCAGGCGGGCACCTGCGTATCTAAGTATTGGAGAGTTTTTACTAGGCAAGTGATTTATCAATCGATAGGCAATCCAATTTCAGAAACTTTTACAGTACATACCATGCCGGGTTACTGTAGGAATGTTTGAGTTACGGCAATTTTTTGTGTTTGGAAAGTCGGTTTTTTAAAAAAATACAAGTTTTGCAAGAAATATACTTTCAAGGTTAAAATATAGATTTTTTTATAATGAAAAAAATTGAAAGTAAACTGTTTCATCATTTTGATTGTTCACTGAGTGTATGATCATAAGCGTTTTTCTGAAATTATACACTGTTCAGGAAGAAAATTGCAATGACTTGTTGAACTTCTTCACAAAAGTTACGAACAAGGAGAGCCTGCAGAACATTGTTAACATGGTTTTTCGAGCTTCGAAAGATACAGTTCAGAAAGAAATATTGTTTAGAGCGAGGAAGTGTTCAGCTTCTGGGCATGTACCAACGTTCCCGTGGATATTCCCACGAAATATCAACTTTTGTGCGAAAGTGAGACGCGGGGCCGCATCGCTTCCGTCTCGGAGATTGTTCGGAAGGTTCCTGATTCGAATTATTTTCCTTTTTGGTCGATGAAACGAACTTCATTTTGATATTAGTGAAAAACAGTGCACTGGCTGTAGTGACAATTGCATAGGCAAAGTCGAAAAAGGCTTCATAGAAATGTTCCTTTTAGGGTAAGAATGGCTCTTTTTTTCTGCCTTTAAGCTCTTTTCACTAACTCTTCAACACCATTTTTACTGCCTTCCCCTTTTCCCACCATTTCTGAAGCCTATCCCAGAAAGGCTCGATAAAGGCACTGTTTTGCTGCCTTTTTGTTGCCTTTCTGCGGTTTTTTTTGAGCCTCTCTTTTTTAGTGGTTATTATCCACCATTCCGACATTGTCCGAGTTAATGTGTTGCGGCTGGGGACTAACAAATCCTTGTTTCCCTATTTTCAATATTTCGTAAACCACTGGGTTTTCGGCAGGGTTCGAACTTGTGACCGTTTGGACCGTAGCTAGGCCCGCAACCTGTTGCCTTACGATGCGCCATTTGAAATTATAACTAAAGTGTAAACTCGAAGAAAAAGTGATTTTTTTTAGCTCACCAATATAAAATGCAAACAATGTAATGCGGTTCTCTCGTCGGCGAATAATATCATAAAAATGAGTTCGGAAGGCGTCGGCGGACATTTTGTCAATGGAGGTATTCTAATTGTTTTTATCCTATGATTAAGATTATTTGTCAATAAAGTTTCCAGTTGCTAAGGATTCCAAATTTTTTTGAGGTTGAATATTTTATACTGGAAAGAGTAGAACGGGGAAGGAAAATATAGGAGTTTTCAGCTTTTTTTTCAAAATTTTTCAATTTTTTTGTCCTTTTTTGAAAAGTTACTTCAATTCATCTTTTTTGAGAACTATCTATTGCATCATGAATGCTTTCTAGCTTTTTTTAAAAGAGGAATTTTTTTGGATAAATATTGATTTTTGTAATGAAGGAGTTGACCGATTTTTCTTCTTAAAGCGAGTAATATTGATCTTTTTTTCGGAATATAAATTTTTGAAATATATAAAAATCTTGTACGCTTCATAGAAATTGTTTAAATCTAATTTTTTTGCGCATTTTTTTCATAAATTTTTTTGTGTTTTTTTTTTTTTTACAATTAAATTGTAAAGCATTTAAAAATCTTGTGAGTTTACTTCATATAAAAAAAGTTAGAATCTGAGATTTTTTTCCAAACTTTCTTTTTAATTTTGATTGGTTCTTCAATGTTTTTCAGAGTTTTTAAATGAAAACAACCCAAACTTTAAAAAAATTTTTATACAGTTTTTCTTGTCTTTATTTTTGAAATATTATCATCATTTTCTAGGGCCTGTCTTTTTGAAAAATAGTTGAAAAATATTTTTTTTTCAGCTGGATACGTTCATGACCTCCTCACGGTTTCTTCATTAGAAAATTTCGTCAGACGTGGTTTCCCATCTTTCGAGTACAGTTGGTTCAGAGGGTGATTTTCTTAATGATCTCAAAAAATGATCAGATTTTTTTCCAGATATTCCTGGACCATTTTGGAATGCTCCGAATGCGGCTCTCATCTCGGATGGGAGTTCAATTCGTATAAATTCATTCCCAGTAGATTTTATGGCCTGACTCGGACAGCTGTTAATTCTAATTGATTAACAAGGCTCAGAAGATTTTTTTGTACATACTTGTATTTTTTTTTTGTTGTACAGTCTTGTAATAAACCTATAGTGACTTAATTTCTAGCGTTGCTCATCAAAATTCTGAAAAAAGCTGAATTATACGCATTTATCTATCCATTTTTCATAACCACGACTCTCCGGAAAAAGTCAAGCTTCTGTTTGCCCAAACAAAAAAAATTTATCACAAAGCTGCGAATTGACAGTTTCTTTCCCAGCTGATAAGCTCATTTCCCCCCGGTCAGCTTCAACTTGAACGCTATGAAGTTTTTCTGGGCCCTGATTTTTGCTCCTTCGGTCCTGGCCCAACTAGGTATGGTTATTTTGATTATTTTTTGAGAACAGCTTTGAAGAAAACGTACTTTTCTGTTCACCTTTTGATTGAAAATTTATGAAATCATCCAGTTCTTATTCAGCTAGTTCTTATGGGTCATTTTGATTAATTTTCGAGAAAAAACTCAGTTTTTTGCATCATTTTTGCTTGAAAATGTAAGAAATTTGCTCATTCGGCTTCAGACCTGCTGGGTATGGTCATTTCGATGAATTTTCAAGATAAGCTCTGTAAATATCGTATTCTTTCTCGCGGAAGTATATTTCTGTTTGAAAATGTACGAAAAAATATTTATGAGACTATAAAAACGAGAGATAGAGAGAGTGGCGGTGAAGAGACATCAGAGAAGTCAGTATCTTTTTTTTCCCTGGCGTCTCTTCTGGCTACCATGCTCTCTTTTGTTCCCTCGATTTTTCTCTTCACAACATAAATTTTCTAAGTCATTTCAGTGAAACATTGAACAGAACACTGAAAAAAACTATTTTCAAGTTCGAAACTGTCTGATTTTCTTCATTGTTATGAGATTATCACAAGTATAATCCAACGGAAATGAAATTTTTCACTTAAGCACTCACGTTTCTGGTTTCTCTATTTGTTATCAGTTGAAAAAAGGAGCAAAGATTGCCGGAAAGGGAGTGTGATCATTGAAATCACTATCTTTGATAGACAGGGAATGATTTTTTTTGAAGAAATGTGATGAAATGGAGCACAGTTGAAAAAAAAAACGAATTTTTAGTTCTAAAAAAGCAGTTCTTTCTTCAAAATTTTTAAGATCTTCGTAGTCCGAACGGATTATGAAACCCCTCAAAAGTTTCTCAGTTCGCCGTGACTTAAAAGTTCTCGCGTATCTGCGTCTCTCTGTTCCCTCATCAGCGAGGTCAGAAAAACATGAAAACAGCACTTCAAAATAAGAGGGTCGCCGAGAGATGAGGAGGGCGCAGAGGAAAACAGTTCCTAAAAAACGATCAAAGCGCTCATGTAGTCTGTTCAGATTTTGAATGCCAAGCAGCAGACCCCGCCCACAACAAAGCTCTGTGGATGACTCGATCTCTGATTGGTTTGATCTAGGGGGCGGAGTTTGAGCGATGACTTGACATTCAAAATCTGAACAGACAATAGACGTTGATGTAACTTAAAGTTCAAAATTAGCTATTACAAATCCCTGAAGGGACCACTTGACTCGAAAATCTTCAGTTTGTGACAACACAATACCTCCCACTGAGAACTGGATCTACGTTTCGGTTCACGGGGGCAAAGAAATTTCCAGCGCCGGAATAGTTCCCCCAACTGGCCCGCATTATTGTACACAGGTTTGATTGGAATACTTGAAAAATGAATAAAAAATACTCAACCTGGTGCTAGAGTGTAATAAAAATTACGGAAAAAACTTTTTTTTTCTGATTAAATTATCTCGAAAAACGATGGTCAATTATATCTCACAAGAATTTATGAATTTCAGCATAATTTTACAGGTAAACTCGGGTAGTGGAACTTTATTGGCACAGTATCAACTTATTCAGCCGCCTTACAGGTCCAAAGGCTAGTTTTTAGTTAAATCAATCAGGATACTGTATAAAAACTGGCTTCTTTGCGTCGTAATGTTTATAGGGCTTTATGGGCGGAAATCTCCTTTAAATAACATCCAAAATTTTTTTTTGAAACAAGTTCATGCTCCTTTGAACTCCTCAGCGAAGAACTTTAAGCTTACCTAGCTGGATCGGTCGACAAATTTATCATTTTTCAAGGTGCCGAAAAAACCTTGCTAGTCGAGAAATGCTCCGAGAACAAGGGGAGATTCCTTTCGTGTACGGCGCAGTGCCGTAACAGCTCAACGCAAGGCAAGCTTCTCGACGCGGTTCTCAGCGCAAGCTCGACGCAAGATTTGGCCAATTCCGCTTGGGCCATCTATGATAATGCTCCGAATGTCGTCGTTGACGTCGTGCAGGTAGAGATTCTCTTTTAATCTCGTAAAACTTGGAGCTATTGTCTATTCGGCACGACTTGAGACAGCCTGACCTGTCTGCTCTCTCTATTCTATCAACGGCAAATTGGAAGAGACGCCAGAGAAAGAGAGCACTCTGGTTTCTCTGGCGTCTCTTCAGGTCGCCTTAGGAACTCCAGTGTGGTTCCTATAGGGGTAACCTTAGGGCCCTTGGAGTGTCCCTTCTAGGTACCACTTTACCAACCCCTATAGAGACCCTCAACGCTTGAAAAAGTGGTCCCTATAGGGAACATGCTAGTCGATAACTCTATGCGAAAAAGCATTAATGCAGAAATGAAATGAAATTGAAAAACCCCTATAGGGACCACTTAAGCTTTCCCTAAACCCCTATAGAGATAGACCCTCGAAAGCCTAAAGAACCTCTATTTTTCTGTATTTTTTTCTCAAAAAAATTGTCTTTTTTGAAACAGTTTCTACCTAATTTCTGAAGTTTCGTCTCAAAATATTTCTTTTTGAGACCAATTTTTCATTTAACTCTAAAATCCTGACCGCTAAATTTCGTCTAGGTAACTGGAAACTAAAACGCTTGAAAAAAATTCATTTTTGAATATTTTTCTTCAAGTTCTGGTGTCTTTTCGAATTCATTTTAACCAAATTTCGGGAATTTCATCTTAAAATTATTAGCTGGACACCAACGCGATCACCAATTTCAACCAGCCTCGGGTCGACAATCCCGACGTCTTCTGTACGGTTAAGGCAGCTTGTGGCGGTTCGAGCGAGTCGGATCCTCGCCGGGATTTCGTTGTAATCATTTCGAGAATCATTACGTGAATAAATAGAGGTTTTTATTATGGATTTATACACTCAAAAGAAAGGAAATCAAGAAATTCAAATCGCAAAAGCTTGACAATAATGAGATCCGTTTCTGGCGCCACAATAGGCCGTGTCCGCCTTGACCGTGTAGGCGAAGGGAGCCTGTAAATTATCGATTTACTGATTTTTTTTGTATCTTTTTAATGTATATTTATTAGCCTGGGAAAATGTTCAAGTGGTCCCTTAAGTAGAAACTCGGAGATACTTCTCACAAGGGGGTAATTCTAAAAATTACTTCAGAAACCATTTAAATTTTTTCCGAATGTCAATTTAATGTGCTCAAACAATATTCAGTGCATTTCAGCCTCAAAAAATCGCTGTTTTTGGAGAGTTGTGACTTAAAATCGAATTGGATATTCTCGAAAACTAGGAATTTTTAAGATTGATAATAAAGAACTTTTACTAGATATCACTTCAGTGACCACTCTCTCGAGACCAGCTTTTTGAGGCCAAAATGTAACTTTTTGAAATTTTTGTCTGAAGCCAGTGATACTGATCTACCGCTTCGAAAAGTGGCCCCTCAAGTGTCCACTTCTATTGATCTGTACCTGCGAGCAAACGACAACAAATCGTCCCAAATCTTCATATTCCAACGCCAATTGAAGGCTTTTGCTGGATTCGACGGCTGAGCTTCTCATATTCTCAAAGTTTTTTTCATTTTTACTCGAAATAGGAGAAGAAAATCACCGTTGTCATCAATTTTTTGAGGTCCGGACTATTGCACAGCATATCTTCATCAGAACTTTGTATGCCGGAAAATTCGGAAGCTTCTTCGGTTGATCTGAAATTTGGAATTTCATGACGTTTGAAGTCAAAGCTTGAGTTTCAGCTCGAAAAATTTTCTTTTGAGTCGTTGAAAAATATAAAATACCGTTTTTTGCGACCTCCACAGCCACAAGAAGACATACAGCAGCCGCCGCCGCCACCTCCCAGAAATCCGCAAGAAGAACAAATTGGCAAAAGTGCCGCCAAAACTACAGCCAACAAGAAAAGATTCATTTTTGTTTTTTCACAGAATAAGAATAAAGATCCTGGGCGATTCGTCGAACAAAATCCCTTTTTATAGTGAAATGGAGCATCGTAATTAATCCGCCGATCGAGCGAAGATCCGTTGGAGGAAAACTAAATCGGTGGAAAATCGTTTTGTTTTTCCTTTTTTTTTTCTTCGTGACCGGCTTTTTTTCCTTTCCTACAGTTCCTTTTCCGCTTTCTTTGTCTTTTTTTTGATTTTTTTTAATTACCTATCTATGACCCAAAATCGATTTATTCATTTTCTAAAGTTTATATCCTTTTCAAATAAAAGTCAGGAAATTTTTCTTTACATTAGTGGAATCTAAGAATAAAAAAATTGACTTGGCACTCATCGATGGGCAGTGAATTTTTTTCAAAAAAAACGTTCAAAGATTCATTTCGGTATTAACTGAACTCAAATAATGTAACAATTTGTTTGTGGATTCACGTTTCACTGTGGCTATTTCTCAACGGCAACTGGCCAAATGCAAAGAGCCCGCGATATTTTGGCAAATGCCACTCTTTCATGCCATCTTTTCGATTTACGCCCTTTTTCTCGTTTTTTTATTCCATTTTTTTAATATACTCTTTTTATTTTTAATATTTCTGAAGGATTCCTACAGTGTTTATGGGACAATCAGAGGTTCAGAAATGAGTATTGGTAATAATGAAACCACTTTTTAAGCTCCCATTTTCCAGATTACATTTTTTTTCTCTTTTTTTTCAAAATCGTTTGTTTTTCCATTTCAGTTCGAAAAATGTTCTGAAGTCTCACGTGTTAGTTTCAGGATCATGGCGCCTTTGCTCATTGTCTTCTAAACGGAAGGTTTGTTGATTATTCTAATTATTAATTAAAGTTTTCTCAGGAGTTAAATTTATCCACACGGTTAATTGAATTAGAAGCGTATGATAAAATAATTTGTGTTTGTTGGCTTCTGAAAAATCGCGATATGATTTTCGCGATGCTTTTCCATTTCTCGAGTGGTTGGTTAAACATCGTGTCGCAGGGGCCAGTGTCAAAATGCCAATTCTCTCTTTGCCTATCCTTTTGTTTTACTTTTTAACTTGTTGAGTGGGGATTAAGTTGGAATAAAGTGAGGAGAATCCACAGCTGTGCGAATTTTTACGAGTTTCACAGTTAATTGAAGCGTGGGCATTGGTATAATGCAGCTTTTCCGCTCCATATAAATCCGCTTAAGCTTTATCTCGGTTTCGAAACGAAAATACTCGTTTTTCTTCATTTTTAAAAAATTGACTGGGTGGATAATTAATGCCGTGAAAAATGTCTTTAAAACACAGATTTTTTTTTGTATAGTCCTCAGAAGTTTTTTTCAAAGCCTCAAATTCACAGATTTTATTGAAATTTAAAAAAGCACCTAATTGTCAATATGATTGCTGGATAAAAGAAAAAAATTTCAATATCAAATGAAGCAATTTTGTTCTAAATTAAGCTATTTATGTCGCGTTTTTTTAGCTGAAAAAGTCAGCAAAAAAAGTATCATTTTTTTCTATTTTTTTCTAACCGAAGAATATATTCCTTTGTAGATATAATATAATAATCGTCTCTGAAAAGTACAAAAAAACCAAAATTGTCTCATTCCCATACAATAACTACATAATCTTTTTTGTTCGATAATTGGATACAACTATGAAATTGAAGAAATTGTAGGAATTGATGGGTTTTGTGGCCACAATTTCTTGGAAGATTGTTTTTCCAAGTAGAGCAAGAATATAAATCTGTTCTTTGGAAAAAGGTAACTTTTTTTGAGTTATCGATAGCGTTTTCGGAGCGAATTTGAATTTTTCCGAGTTTTTTTTCGTGAAAAAGTTCCAAAATACCTTTTACGGAAGCTATTTTATGCAAGTAATCTGATTTTACAAGAAACGGGAGAAAAATTTAAAAATATAAATTCGCGCCAAAAACGCATCGCGACCGTTTTGCACACCATATTGAGGTTTTAAAGTGAATATTTCAACTTTTAATTAATCAAAAAAAAAAAGCGGTAGTGCGAAATTCCACCAAGTTCACAGTTTGACCAATTTGACGTCTCCCTTCGTTCTGTTTTGTTTATTTCCGTTCCCGATGACTACTGTCTCCGGTGTTTTCTTCATGACCTTCGCCTCGAACCAGTTATTCTTCGTCTTCTTTTTTTTTTTTTGCCTGCCCAATTAGTGGTAGTGTCAGCCGTCATTCATCGCTTCCCTATGCTTATCGATTTTTCGATCTCATTCTGAAGGCTTCCTTATTAGTATCTGTTGAAATTTATTTTTTTCTCATAGTTTTTCGGAGCTTTCTTTTAGAGTTTTGTCTGAGTTGATCTTTTTGAAAGCGATACGGTCAATCAGAGATTTTTTTCATATTTTGGGAACCTATGCTTATCGCCTTTTTTTGATCGTATTTAGCACAGTTCTCTAATTAATTTCGGTTAAAATTAATTTTTTACAAGTCCAATGGAAGTTTTTTTTTCGAAATTCATCCGTTTTCAAATTTTTGAAGGCGCAGTGACAAGGTGTTTTACACTTTGAAAATTTATTTTTGTCGATTTTTTGATTTTTTTTTGAGTACGGTTCTCTGCCTAATCCGCTTTAAATGAGTTTTTTTACAGGATAAAACAGAGTTTTTTTCAGAGTTTATTCAATTTGACGTTTTTTTAAAGGCGCCTTGCCATGACCAAAAAGCTTCTTTTTCAAAATTTGAAAAAAACTTTGGAAAGAACCCTTTGATTTTTTTGAAAAGGATATTTGAATTTTTTTAAGCTTACAAAAATGATAAATTATCTTTTTTGTTGAATTTGTTGTGGTTATCTCTTTCATCACATGAAAAAAATATTTTTTTGCGTAATGTTCGGAATTTTTTTCATAATTTTTTGCTCAAATCGAAGGTCTAGCTGAAAGTTCCTGAAACTGGCTATCTACACACAATTTCAGGTTCGAAAATATTAACTCAAAAGCTAACTTTTAGGACAAAATTAGGCTTAAATACAACACTTATTGATTTTGAAAAATGTAATCTTCAAAAATAATATTTTTAGCAGATAACCTAGACCTTCAGAGAGTCTTTATGAAGATTTTCCACGTATCATACTAAAATTGTCTCCCTTGTCAGCATGAATGGAATAAATCTTTTCGAAAAGGCTAAAGAGCCATGAATAGCATTGATTACCTAGACGGAGGATGGCAAAAGTATGCTTCATTAAGTTTGTTGTTTTCTCCCTCATTGACGTCTTCATTTACACACACACACATATTTATAAAGTTAAATTAAAAGCGGCCAATAGCTATTTAGAGGAAAAGTTGCTCAAAAAGAATTTTAAGACCTTAAACTTTGCAAATTTTTGAATTTTTTCTGTCAAATATCTCACCAGATAGGTAATCTCGTCTGTTGTTTCAAAATTTTTGGAAATTGAATATTCCTTGTAGTAAGACACAGAAAATCTCATTCTGCAGAAAATTTTAATTCTTTAAGCCTTACAGTTATTAGCAGAACTTAAACGAGAATTATTTTCTCATAATCTAGGAATTTTTTAAGGTCAAGCCTTTCAGGGCCTTTTAGTACATAGAAACGTGTCCTGATGACTTTGCTCGAAATTTGAGGTTTTTGATAAAATTTGATAAGCCCCTTTGTAAGCCAAAACACTGATTTTAAGTAGATAAGAGAGTCTAAAAATTTTAACTATACTGTATTTTCTTGAGTAAACGGCGTCTCAAGATTACATTCTCGAGCAGAACTTGAACGAGAATCATTTTTTTCAGAATCCAGGAGTTTTTTTGTAGGGCAAGCCCACCAGGATAGTCATTTAGTACATAGAAGATTTTTTTGTTAATGAAATTCTGAGATTTTTGGATAAAAATATTTTTCTTTGGAAGCCAAAAAAACACCTGGTGGTAGATAAAGACCCTGAAGTTTTTTTGAATTTGATATTAATTTTTAATTTTTTTCGAGAGACGGCGCCCAAAAAGCTACAGTCTGTTTGTAGTAGAATTTTTGAAAAAAATATGGTTTTTTTCGGATTTTTGAAACTTTTTAGAGTTGCTTTTGTTCAAAATCAGGTTTCGAAGCTGGTCATATTATGAAGAAATATGTACTTTAATACCTTGAAAAATCCAAAAACCTTTTGAAAATTTGATAACTTGACTACCATTAAAAACCGACTGACTTTCCCAGCATGCCGGATTTTTCTCAGAATTCATGATTTTTTGCAAGTCATGTCTTTCAGAGTTGTCTTTCAGTGCGAAGGTGTTTTGAGATTTGTAAACAAGCTTCCGAATAACGCTGATCACCTGAAAGGATAATGGCAAAAGTAGGCCTCATTAAGTGTTGTTTGACGTGCTCACACACACATATAAAGTTAATTTAAAAGCGGCCAATAGCTAATTAGACGGAAAATGAAGAAGAAGGAGGGGGAAAAAGAAAAGAAAGGAAAGGGCACTATAAGCGCAAACGTGTGGAGAGGAGCCGCCTATACCAGAAGGCATTTGGAATTGGTCGCTGCGTGGGGCAATGTGGGTAATCTACTTGTTGACATTCATGTCTCAAGAGAATTCGCCACGCCACCAGGCGGCTATTTTTTTCCGCCCCTGGATACGTTCTGCTTTTTTTTTTGTTTAATCCCTGTTTCAAAAGTATTCTCCTTTATTGATCGCCCCCTTTCTGATTCCCATGATGTGTCTGTTACGAGACTGCTTTTTTTGGTCTCATAGTTCTCTTTGGAGAGTCGGATTTTTTAAATTTCTTTTTTTAAATCAGAAGATCTTACCTCGCAACTTGTACTGATTTAACTTTGGGTTCACTGTGAGTATCCTTCTTTAAGATAATTTTAAATTTTTAGAAGATTATCGGATACATTGGATCTAACGGGAGAGGTGAATGAATTTGATAATTTCGCAACCTTTAACGAATTAATTTGGTCTTTTTGTTAGTCAGTCTACATTTTTCCGGTGTATAAACACTTTTCTGCAAATCGGCAATTTCACAGATTTTTAAAAAAGTTTTGGATTTCCGATGAGGACAAAAAAATTTGAGTTTTCAGCTAGGTTTTTTTTGCAAGTTAGTTTTTCTCGGTCTAAGTTCACTCTTTAAGTAATCGACGTCTTCAAAAAATTTTATAAGATGGTTTTCGATCTAACTGAAAACGTGGAAAATTATGATCAATTTCACTGTTTTTGACTTGGTTTTTACTGTGTGTCTTCTTTTTTTCCGGTCTCAAAACACCCTTTTCCAGCAATTCTAAAACTGTTTCTAAAAGTTTATCGGTTGGTTTTCGATCTAATTGAGAAAGTGCAACTTTTAATGATTAACTTGGCTAAAGTCCGCTTTTTTCCGGTCTAGCAGAACTCTTTTGGGATTCAGCAGTTATAACGGGTTTTTGTGAAGTTTTGGTTCTTGATCTAAATTAATGATAAATGGGGAATCCTTTTTTGATCCTTTGTTAATTAATTGATCCAAAATGGTCTTTTTGTGAGTTCACCTTTATTCCGGTCTAAAAAAATTTTTTTCCAAAGTTATCTGTTTTCTTTAAGACTAAGAAAGTGGAAAAAAATTAGATAATTTCTCAATCTTAACGGTTTAATCTGGTCTTTTTCCTGTGAGTCACCTTTTTCCGGTCTACAGCACTCTTTGAGAACCGGAAGTTAATACAGATTTTTTTCTTTATCAGATAGTTTTTGTTCTAACTGAGAAGGTGTACATTTTGATGATTTATCAACTTTTTCTGCTTTTATTTTTTGTGAGTTACATTTTCCGTCCAAAGAACGTTTTTAGGCAATTTTTTACGTCTCACTGACTATAAATTTAAAAAAAAGTCCTCAATTTCAAGTCAATTTGCAGCTCTCTGTCTGTAGTTCCAATCCTAAAATTTGTACTCTTCCGGAAACAAGAAATTTTTTAAGGTTGGACAAATTGAGATCTGGGTTGTGTGGATACAATTTCTTAAATGGGTTAGGATTTTTCTTGCGTTTTTGTTGCGGGGTTTACGTTTCATTTGAAATAGATTAATTTTTGAAATAATGGGTTGATTTTTTTGTTATTGAAGATTTGCTAGACGTAACCACTTGACATTAACCAGTAGGAGTGAGACTCCGAAAAAAATGAACGTCTAAATTTAGAAAAATTCTCACGTTTAGAATCATTGTATTGCAATTTAAATAAAAAAACAATTTTTTTCGATTATAACTGACTGAGTCCTGAAAAAAATAGCCCCTGAGCATAATTTTTTTGTTTCAATTTTTTTGAGAAGCTTTCCCGACTTTGCTCCTGTCAAGCTGAGAATGAAGAAAATTTGAAAAGAAACGGAAAAATTTTAATTTTTATCGAGAATTTTTTTGTTTTTCGCTAACAAGTTAAGTTCAGCCCTATCTAGAAGATCGTGAAGTCGTAGTTTTTTTCTGATTTCAAGTTTTAATCTGATTGAAAAGTTTAATTTTTAAAAAGTTGTCGAAATCGAGGTAGCCGACTTCTTTCAAACAGAATCCCACTCCTTTTTGATAATAGCGGATCAAAATTTGTAGGAATTTCACAAGAGAGTTATGAAAGAAAAGAGGCAAAAAAGCTCGTACTTAAATTGGTTTTTGAAAAGTTACCCATTTTTCGGCAAAAAAAAACCTGATGACAATAAAGTGTGCTTATGTGGAACAGAATAACGGCTTTTTCCTTGAAAATTCGAAAAATTTCCGGACTCATCATCGATTGGAGAATCGCTTTGTAGAATGTTTGTAGATATCGATTATCTTTTCATTCATTCGCACAATTTTCGGAAACTTGCATAAAAAATTTTTTTGCAAGATTTATGAGTGGATTTATACTTATTTGGAGACTTTCTTTATGAAATATCCAGTTAAGGGTTCGAAAAAGAGCGGGCTGAAACGTGTGGATGAATGGCTTCGACGCGCAGTTTGGACGACTCGGAAGCGTGGCGACAGTCGCTTCTGCGAGTCAAAGCGCATCATGCCGACAAGGTACAGGAAAAGGGCTGATTTTCAGAGGGACCTTCGTGTTTTGTCCTTTTGCCTGGGTGTTTCAAATCTAGTAATAACAAGTTTAACGATTTTTTTTTGATTTTTCAAGAAATATATATTTTGAATTAAACTTATTAAAGCTTCAATAAAGAAGGTATTAGTTTTGAAGTCCAATTTTTCAAATTTTCGATTTTTTTGCGAAGATTCCAATTTTTTTCGGAGCAGGACCCAAATACATTTCAGAGCACGGCCTTCGACTCGATGCTCGAGGGAACATCCGGAAACCATCAATGGGTCCAGGTGATCAGAAAAAGAAATCTCATGTATCATACTATACTTAATAAACAGGTCAACCACCCTCGTCCCACCTTTTGCAATTATTGTCGGGAGAAATTATCTGGCGTCCCTTGGCATGGATATACTTGCGAAGGTTAGCAGATTTATCAGCCCGAAAACAAGGAAAAATTGCCTTTTTTGATTTTTTTTTTGTCTTGGAAATGGGCCAGAGTCTCTTAAGCGAGAGAGCGGGAGAATTACGGAGACGCAGATCTATCTTTCTCTATTTTCTCTTCGCTTTCTACGTTTTCTTCACGAGATTTCGAAAGAAAAAACTACCATCTCTGAGTTTTGCAAACGAGAGAGCGTGAGAAATGCGAAGACGCAGGTCTCTTTTTCTCTGGCGTCTCTCCACCTTCTACACTATCTTCTCAAGATTTAAAACAAGAAACATTCCTTATATCAGTTCTGAGTTTTGCAAGCGAAAGAGCGTGAGAAATGCAAAGACGCAGATTTATCTTTCTCTGGCGTCTCTCCACTTTCTACACTGTCTCCCCGAGATTTCAAGCAAAGAAAACTATATATCATCTTTGAACTTTGTAAGCGAGACAACGTGAAAATCCAAGAAACGCAGAAATTGTTTCTCTGTCGTCTCTTCATCTATCATACTCTCTTCTCGAAATTGAAACATTTATTATAATTCACCTTCAACTTTTCCTACCGAGAGAGCGTTACAACCGGAGAGATGCAAATCTGTTTTTCTCTGGTGTCTCTTCACCTTCTACACTCTCTCTCTTTCTCTTTAAGTTTTGAAAGCCGTATTCACAGCGCTTTACTTCTTTCAGAACTGATCAATTGATCAACTAATTGATTTTCTGTTCAGTGTGTAAGATGAAAGCCCACAAGAAGTGCATGGAGAAAATCACGGACCGATGTAAATGGACCATCGAGGCGAGCATCCCTCACCACATGCAGTACATCAGCCCTGAAGTGACCCCTTCATTTCGGCGTCAAAAACAGCTTTTTTTCCAGAATTCCATTGTCCCTCACCAGTGGGTCGAAGGGAATTTGCCTATGTCGGCAAAATGTCTCGTCTGCGAAAAACCGTGCGGTTCCGTGTTGAAGTTGCAGGTACAAATTAGATTGAAAATAGAAAAGAAGCAATTTTTCAATAGCATGCTGAAGTTTGGCCAGCAGAAGCTTTAAAAATTGAATAAGAGCAAATGGTTACAAAATTTTATTTCTGAGACGGTTTTACCACATTTTGAAAATCTGTGGTAAACTAGATCGTGAGAACTTTTTTGGCCAAATTTTGAGGATTTTCTTTTCGAAAAAGAGCTATATTTTTGAGCCTTACCATTAGTTCCAATCTCCGCATCTCAAATTGTAGAAAACTAGACAGCACTAGTAAACAAGAGCGTTTAGAGAAAAAAAAATCACGCGCCCTCTCATTTTTGAACGCTCTCTAATCTTCGAAGACTCGAAAGTTCATATTTTTCAAGAGATATTTTTCGTCTCTTGTTTTATAGGCAAAGATCTCATGTCTACGTGCCAATTCTTGTTTCTTCGACCGCTTAGTATAGGAAAAGACCGCTTCAAAGTGACAGAAGGGGTGTACTGATCACAAAAAGAGCTTTCGTAAAATTTTAGGACTGGAGGTGTATTTGGTGCGCCTGCTGCGTTCATTCCGGTTGCCTGACCCATCTGGGTCGAGCCTGCTCCTTGGGTCCCGCGGCCCTCTCCGTCGTCCCTCCGCTCGCCGTCCGCGACGTTAACCTCAACGCTACGGCCCTTCTCCGTGAAGACGCCTTTGGTTATTTTTCTAAAAAATCCTGAATAATCGAGTCAGTTTTAAGGCGGGGATTGTGGTGGCGGGTCGCCCCTCATCGTCCTAGTCAACTCCAAATCCGGCGACAACCAGGGCCAGCGCATGATTCGGAAGTTCAAACGTCTTCTCAACCCGATCCAAGTCTTCGACATCATCGCCACGGGGCCGGAATTCGCGTTTGAATCGATATGCATAGTTTCGAAGCAATTTTTCGACGTTTAGCTTGACGTTTTTCGAGCAATTCGAGGCGTTTCGTGTTCTGGTTTGTGGCGGAGATGGGACCGTTGGCTGGGTGCTCAGCGCCTTCGACAAGTTGAACCTTCATTCAAAGGTAATCTTGACCCAGCCTGTCACGTTCTGCCAGAAACCATGTGCCGCGACTTGACAGTTTTCGCGTGTCTGCGTCTCTCTGTTCCCTTACCGGCGAGGTCAGAGAAACATGAAAATAGCACGTAAACATGAGAGAGACGTCGATAGATAGGAAGGGCGCAGAGAAGTCCAGCTCTTTCAAGTTTTCAAGCTTTTTTTTTGTTTTTCTTTGAAGGTTTTGAAGAGTCTCAAAACGAAAAACAAAAATAAGCTTTCTTACGGTAGCATCCCTTTGACTGTGTTCGAAGTATTTCAGCTGCATTTTTTCAGTGTCAACTGGCGATTCTTCCCCTCGGAACGGGTAATGACTTGGCCAGGGTACTCGGATGGGGCCACGCCTTCTACGACGACACTCAGTTGCCTCAACTTGTCCGGACCTTCGAAAGGGCTCATACTCGTATGCTTGACAGGTTAGGCTGACTCACATTGACCATACAGAAACCAACTCTTTTTTCTTCAATATTCACTTGATGAAGTTTATTTTTCGACTCCTATATTCTGAAAATTTTTCTCATAGATTAGCGACATACATGGTTAGGCCATATCCCAAGCACTCCCCCAAAAAAATTCCTAAACTAAAATCAGGACTACCTCCTATGAAGAAGCTCTCCTGAGGTGAACATAGCGGACCTGATCCCAACTTCTAGGTCAGGCGGTCCTAAGTATGAAAAAAAAGGATTATCTGCTAAGCGCAAAAGAGTACTGATACAAATCCCGTAGAAAGTTGGAAGGTGCACTCAAAAACTGCTTTTGATTGAAATTAAAGTTGCAAGAAAAAATCATGTGAATGATTACCACATAACGAACCCGAGAAAAGTTTTTTCTTCGGAAATTTTGAAGAAAAACTGTTTTCAAGCTTTTCCTGTTAGCTTTCGACCAGCCTTACGGTTCTTAACGGATGAAATTTTTTTGAAATCATACGTAGCGCGCCACAGATCCTCGAACCAGATTTGAGATGTCTCTGGTAAATTTTCAACTTTTTTTTTGTCAATAACTCTTCCGTTGTGTTGAAACTTATTTTTCTATCTCGTTTTTAAGAATTTTTGTCGGTTTCCAAGGTTTATTGAGCCTTTACTTTCCCACGTATGGTCTGAAACAATCTGTTTCAGATGGAGTGTGCTCTCCATTGAAGGCCCACAAGCCGACGCGGTTCGACTCCACGAAGAGCTGATCATCAGCAAAGTTCGCGCCGTTCTCGACGCCGAGCAGCCTTCTGAAACGATCAACGCCGTTAGGTTGGTCCAAACAAGGGAAATGTAGAGAACGGCTCAAAAGTATTGTATAGAAGAGAAGAATGATTAGTTTTCCATGAAATTTATGAGGACCAAGGTCATTAGAAGCTGAAGTTCAAAATTAAAGGAGAGTTCTCTCAATTCTAGAGCGGTTCTCTTGAAAAATGATCCCTAGTCAAGTCTTCAAGTCCTTCTGATACAAGGTAGAACTTGAGTTTTTTAACGTGCCGAAATTTTTCAAAAGATGGAAATTTTGTTATGAGAAGACCGTAGTTTTAACTTTATTATATTGAAAAAGGAGAGCTCACACGTTTTTTTTCTTGTTTAACAACGACCCAGCAAAACGATTAAACTTTTGAGCAAAAATAAAATATGTTCAGTTCATTATGCGTGACGGTTCGAGGCCTGATGCAAGATTTGGCGGACGCCTACACCCGAGTCGAAGAATGGGAACGGCAGGACGGTCGCATACCCCAGGACCCGATTTCCGAACAGTTATTGCCCTTTTCAAATGACATTTCATCATTTTTTTTTTCAGGTGTACGGTTCTCCTCCAGAAGCTCGACCGTCTGATGCGATCCCTGCAACTGGACCCCAGCCAACTCGACGAGAGCGGATTCGAGCCGGAGGACGAAGACAGTGCGTTGAATTCTAGAAAATTCTGTATAGACGATCCTAAAATCTTCAGAAATTCAGGGAAAACCTCCAATATTTTTGGGCACCAAAAGCCAAATTCAAAGGAATACAACCCAGGGCAAATAAATAACAAATTATTTCCGAAAAATCAGTTTTTCGACCGAGTTACGAAACGGAGGAGCTTACTGGATTTGATTTTTCAGGAGATTATAAATATACATAGTATAATCTCGGTGGGACATGAGAAAAGGGGGTACTTGGCAAATAAAAAAACGAGAAAATGGGGGCAAAAAAACGTAAAAAGAACATTCACATTTTTGCGGTGTCAACCTTCAAGTCGATGAAGTAACAAAAAAATAATCTTTTTTTCTTCGAGCATAGAGGGGGGACCGGGGTCTTGACTGTTGCCAGTCATGCTCATCCCATGTATGATTATAAGGCCACAGACATTTAAAAAATACAGAATTTTTGCCTGAATTCGGCGCGATCTTTGTTTTTTTTTTCTGATTTTCTAGACTTTTGACTTGATGGGTATCGAGAGAGATTTGAACAAAAGACTTTCACAACGGTTTCTGAGAAAATGTTTATTGCGTTTTTGTATCATTATTGATCTTTTCAACGTTTAGGCTGCATTATGGAAGAAGTCCTGCGGCGGGACTCCCTGGTCAACCGGGCCAACAGTCTCAAAAAAGCCCTTCGCGACATGATCTCCCTCGCGGAACGCGGCATCGACCAGCATTATCGCGATAGCGCTGGCACGAAACGCGAGCGTTTTCGCAAGAAACGCAGCAAAACTACTCCTTCGGCTCTTAGGGTGCGGATTTATCATTGATATTGTATTCAGTAATTTCGTAAGGGAAAATCTAGAGAAAAAACTGACAAGTCAATTATTTTGAATAGTTGATAATAAAGAGCTCGGGAATTCACTGGACCTAGAATATTTTGTTAGACTTCGAAGATGCCATAGATCAAGAAACATCTTCAGAAGGAAAAAATCGGTTTTTTTTAGCTCAGGTACAAAAAAGGGTTTAAATCACGTATTTCAACATAAATAAAAAGCTAAAAAAATTAAAAAAATTAAAGTTTTTTGTTAAACTACACGGGGCACGGACATGGGATGTATTAGAAATTGATGGGGCTTTTTCCCGATTTTTTTAGTTTTTTTGAAATTACCAGATAAAAAAAAGATGTAGTTAAATTAAAATTCGAAACCCGAGTCAAAAAAAAGAAGAAAAACGGAGTTTATATTCAAAATGCTCTGAGCTTGATTGGACCTAGCAAAGTATAAAAAAACTCTAAATTGGAATAGGTTGATAATTTTTTTTCTATAGTAAGCAAAAAGGTTGAGAAAAATCTGATTACATAAATTTGCAAATTCAGTCACAAAAAGCTTGGGATTTAGTTGGTTTCAAAACCACAAAATCAAAAAAAAGGTTTCAGAGCCCATAAAAACGTTATACCTCAGACGATGTCTTTGATACTGAAATTTCGAATAATTTTCAAGTCTTAAATGACGCTCAAGATCTACAGTTTGCTCGACTCAAAAGTTTCCACGTTGATTTGATCTCCTTTGAAGTCTTTTGAATGGAGATTTTGTACTTTCCTGTACTTTTAAATCGGAAATCAAGAATCTACTATCCGTATTTTCCAAATTTTGTTCATTTTTCCAGGTATCCCAATCAAACTTATCATCCTCATCGGCCTGTTCTCCACAACCGTCGCCCACTCAAAAACATAAACTACCGTCCTTCCCTCTAGAAGATCCCCAAAAACCCCAAAATCTTCTCGCCGACTGCGCCCGAAGCACCAACGAACTGGCATCCTCCCACCTCACACCGACCAGTGGCTATGGTGAGCATGAGGCCTGGAGAATTTGAAGTATTCCTGCTGGAATAGTTTCAGGAATCTCCCAGTCGCATTCCTCGAACACCGGACTCTCGCCCGAAGAGTCGGCCTTTCCGATGGTGCCGACGTCTTCCGGCGAAGTCAGGACTCTCACTGAACAGCCAAGGTAAAAAGTAGAACAGTTTCAACTGTTCTAACCTTAAAAGGCCTCTAAGTCTTGGTTCAGACTCACTAAGGTGCCTGAACAAGCCCAATCTTTTCTATTTTTAGCATCGGGCGAGTACAGCCACCAACCCCTGGCGCCACTCGAGATCAACCGGCGAAAGACGAGCTTTTGAAGCACCTGGAGTTGACCACTCCGGATCGTCCAGACGTCTCCTCCAGCTCCTTGGAAGCTGGTCAGCCTGAAGGTGAGAAACAATTGAATTTCCTTAACGAGAAGAAAAAGCGTAGGTCTTCATGAATGCATTGAAATTGGGTTGAAAGATGAAAAAGAAGGAATAAAATGAAAGTTTGAGGGAGATAAATCGAGCATTTAGTTTTATTTAAAAAAAAAGGGTTTGTACTCTTGAAACGGTTGAGATAAGGAAAGTTGAAGTATAAGGTATTCAATTAAAGCATTACAACATTATCCCTCAACAAGACTTGGAATATCACCCAACGACATTCCGTTGTTCCGCTGCGTGCGGTCGCGCAGCGTCTTCGTCTTTGCGAATCTCGGTCGCGGTTTCAAGTTGCTGGTGGATGGACTGTTTTACTGGGAACACCTGAAAGTCGAGT